AAGGGGCGTTTATGTGGGTGACAACTACATGTATCATGGGTTACTAAGTACCCTGAACCTCCACGTAGGCACTGGAACTAAGCCCTGCTTCTTGAACCCGTGGCTGCCTAGGAGCAGTCTTTCAGATGAGTTCCAGGCTTGAGGTGTTGTAGAGGGTTTAGGGTTTAGGGTTTAGGGTTTAGGGTTTAGGGTTTAGGGTTTAGGGTTTAGGGTGTCGGGCTTCGGGTTCTAAACCATAGGCCCCTAGAGCCCGATGTTAACCCAAAATGTGAAGGAATTTAGAGTTACAGGTTTTCTTTGGAAGCTTCCTGGAATCTTATACACAAGATCTTTTTCAGACTCCTTACTTTAAACCCCAAACCTCAAACCCCCAAACCCTAAACCTTATGCCCTAAACCCAAAAAGTAAAGGAGCCTGCGCACTAGCCCCTGTACCGCTGAGCCTCAAAACCCGTCGGGGCTTAGTCTACTTGGTGGGCCATGGGTAGGTTTAAGTAGGGTCAGAAAGTGTGGTAACTGTGCTTAGACCCTTTTTTTAGGGCACTTACAACCCTGCTTAAAACTACCCATGAACCTCCAAGTAGCGTTTCGGGTTGAAAGGTTAGCGTCTTGAAGCCCTAAACCCTGAACCCCAAACCCCAGTAATATGTTCCTCTCAACCCGAACAGCTCTCAGCCTTCCATAGGCACTAGACCCGAAAGTCCGGATCCATCTCTTCGGGGACACGCCGCCGCCAAAAGACTGGCAAGACAAGCATGGCTTGGACACGCCTTTGTTTTGGCAGGAGTCCAAACCCATCGCATTTTGGGATACTTTCCTTGACGAATTCAAGGTGCAGGCAGTGTTCGATGTCACCGCCGGCAGCGGTACCTTGATGGAAGCTTGCCTGACCCGCGGCATCGTCTACCATGGGCTTTGCTTTGGCCTTAGACGTGCAAGCGCGCGTCCCACAAACATATGTCAACAAGAAGCTGGCGGTTGACACAGTTTAGAGGCTTCCAAATTCCGGAGTGTTCTTCTCAATCACAACAAAGTTGAATCGTGTTGTCAACCCTTAAGATCCATCTAAACCCTAGAACCCTAAAGCCCTAAAACCCTAAATCCCTGAAGCCCTCAAGCCCTACAAGGTTCAGGTTTTAGAGTTCAGGGTTTAAAGTCCAAAAGCTCAAAACCCTAACCCAAGTCCCCTCTTTAAACCCTAAACCCTAACCCTAAACCCTAAACCCTAAACCCTAAACCCTAAACCCTAAACCCTAAACCCTAAACCCTAAACCCTCAACCCTAAGCCCTAAGCCCTAAGCCCTTAAAGAAGCAAGAAGCAAAGCACATGAGCTCCGCCAGGCCGGCTGGAAGATCCACGTGATCCATGGTTCTCAGGAGAGGTTTGGGTGTGGTTTAGGGTTTAGGGTTTAGGGTTTAGGGTTTAGGGTTTAGGGTTTAGGGTTTAGGGTTTAGGGTTTAGGGTTTAGGGTTTAGGGTTTAGGGTTTAGAGTTCTCAGGAGAGGTTTTGGGGGGTCCATTGGGGCGGTTTGGGGGTGCGTGGTGGGGGATTTTGGTTTAGGTTTTAGAGTTAGGGTTTAGGGTTTAGGGCTTGCTTAGGATGTTTTAGGGGTTTTGGGTGGGCTTTGGTGTTGACAGGGTTCACAGGAGACCCTTGCCTCCAATCCCTAGTTAACACCGAAGCCTTCAGCCTAGCGAGCTTCAGAAGGACATACTTGGAGGTTCATGGGTCGTGATAACTCGCGTTAGAAGTATGGTAGCTATACTTCGAGCCCTAGTTAGTGTACTTGCACCCCTAGCTTTTTTAAGCCCTAAGCCCTAAGCAATAAGCCCAAAGCCCAGGACCCTAAATCCTAACCCTAAACCCTCAACTCTCAACCCTCAGCCCTATACCCTCAACCCTATACCCTAAACCCTAAACCCTAAACCCTAAACCCTAAGCCCAAACCCCCAAACCCTAAACCCCAAACCCTGAACCCTAAACCCCAAACCCAGAGGATGAACTGATCCCTCCCACCATGGGCCGGCACCTGGGTGACCTTGCCGCTGAGGCGCCATTTTGGGGGAGTTTAGGGTTTAGGGTTTAGGGTTTAGGGTTGAGGGTTGAGGGTTGAGGGTTGAGGGTTGAGGGTTTAGGGTTTAGGGTTTAGGTTTCCCCGTGCGCGCCGACCGGAGCAGGGTTTGGGGTTTGGGGTTTTGGGTTTATTTAGCTTTTGTAGTTGCAATTTTGTAGATTTCTCAGCATTTAACATGAAGTGTTTTTTAGTGTTTAGGGCAGGTAGCTTACTCACTCAACTTCTCACCACATGATCGGCCAGAATGCTATGCCCACAGTGACTTGCAGTGTCATTGCTGCAAGATCGCAGATCTTGCGACTTCCCAAAAGAGCCCAATACCCCTTAACTAAGGAATGTTCCTTAAATCATACTAAGGATCCCTTCATAGTTTAAGCTACATTCCTTAATTAAGGGGTTTTTGGGCTCTTTGGGTTCCGACATAGGTTATTGGGGGAACATAGCATCGTCAACCCACAAGAGCAACCTTATGTCATTTACTTACTCCCCACTTACTGCTCGGTGGGTTTAGGGTTTAGCCCTCAACCCTAAACCTTAAACCCTGAACCCTGAACCCTGAACCCTAAACCCTAAACCCTAAACCCTAAACTTAGAGTCCAGGGTCTAGGGCTTGCCAGCCTGAAATCCTGTACCAGTTGTTGTGCCCTTCCTTGACCCGCAGGTGTTGTTCCTTTTCTGAGAGGTAGCCCGTTGCCTTTTCTATCATGCAAACCGTAAAATATGAAGTAGGGACCCTTTTTTACTGCAATCGAGTGTGTCCTAGGTGTAGTAGTATCCCGACTGCAGTGACCTCGTTGCAATGCCACTTGTAGTTTGGACTTGGAGTTGGGGGATGTTCATCTCGCAAGGGGTCCCTTACCTGCAGTACCTACAGACCTCACCAACCCACAAAAGCCTTCTAGAAATCCATGTTTACACGTTTGTACATATCTATCGGATGAATGTACGTCATATGAACAGATACCTAGTTTTAGTTTTTTAAATCTAAACTTGAAATTGAGCATGCACATATCTATTTATCCGTCCAACTTCTCCTTGAGCTATGCACAAGAGGATTCGCGTTGCCCTTGTTTCAAGATCGAGGGCAGCAGCAAGAGACATGCTAATCGCAGAACTCAGCCTTTCCCTCCCAGCCAACATGTTCAGGGCTGGGAATACCGTAAGCCACAAACCTGAAACCCTAAATTCTCCTAAATCCCCAGATGCCCGAAACCGCTTGAGTCTTGAGTGCGGGTCTAAGGGAGGCTTCATGGCCCCTGAATATGGTCCCTTACCCTCTTTTTAAAGGGTTCCGAAATATGGGCCCTTGGGTTTGAAAGAGTATATAGGGGGTATATACGCCTTCCCCAATAAGCAGCACATAGTCAGGGACCATGTAACTACCCCTAAACCCGAACCCTAAGCCCTAAGCCCTAAACCCTAAACCCTCAGGCCATGGGCATCAGCACTAGCATCTTCCAGGAGATTCCCAGAGCAGGCAGGGTGGCCAGAAAGACGAACAGAGCTTAGCTGGGACACAGACCTTAGAACCTTATCAGGTCCTTATTGGTTTAGGGTTTAGGGTTTAGGGTTTCTCTCTCGCTCTCCCTCTCTCTCTCTCTCTCCCGCACTCTCTCGCACTCGTCTCCCACTCTCTCCCTCGGCCTCACTATCTTGCGATGAAGGTTTCGGGCTTCGGGCTCTCTCTGTTCTGTTTGTCCTACTGCTGTCTATCTATCTCGCTTTCTGTCTCCGTTTACCTCGAAGCCCGGAGCCTAAACCCAAAACCGAACCCTTTACCCAAAACACCCGCAGTGCTATTTCCTCCAAATGAGCTCCGAACATGTTCGAAAGTTTACTGATAAACTTAAAAGGTCCTTACTTGGGAGCCTTAAACATTTTTGGGGAGTGAATGCGGGACTCGTGGCTGTGGAATCTGGTCGGGTTTGGGTTTAGTGTTTAGGTTTTAGGGCCCCAAACCCTAAACCCTAAACCCGAAACCCTAAACCCTCCAGGGTCTAGCATTTAGGGTTTAGGGTTCGGAGGCACTTCGCCCCTAGTTGCTCGGGGAGTGTGCGTCTGGCCTCGGAGGTCACAACGACGTGGTCTCCAAGGGCTTCGACGCCTACATGAAGATCATGGGATTGCTGAAGCCTTGAGTCTAGGGCTTGGGGCTTTGGGTTTAGGGCTTAGGGTAGTTATAGGGCGTATCTCGCCCAAAACCTCTTTTGGTGGACTGTCGTAAGGTATCGGGGTGCCCACCTAAACCCTTGAACTGGTCGTAGAACATGACGATGAACCCTCGCTGCACTCGCGTGTGCCAGTTTCACACCTAGCCGTTCGCCGGATGCAGTAAATGCGAGCGCGGTGCGAAAAGGACAGGCTTCTGGCAAGGAGTCGGTCTCCTGTTTAGGGTTTAGGGTTTAGGGTTTAGGGTTTAGGGATACTAGGGTTTAGGGTTTAGGGTTTAGGTTTAGGGTTTAGGGTTTAGGGTTTAGGGTTTAGGGTTCAGGGTCCTCCGCATAACCCTCATTAAGCATGGTGTGGCTTGTGTTGGATCTCATGCTGTACTCCATTCTCAGTTCAGCTTCCTTCCTAACCACACTCCCCATAACTCAAGCGCTAAACCAAAAAGTGCAGTTGGTCTCAAACCTCAACCCTAAACACCAGTACACCAAGCGTCCAGCACTGTGATGACATGACCCCAGTTTATTCCCTGAACCCTAAAACTCCCTAAACCCTCTGTAAATCCGAAGCCCTAAATCCTAAACCCGAAGCCCTAAATACCCCCCCGCCCCCCCGCCCTCCCAAAGTCCTAAAGCCCAAAGCCTACAAGCCCTGGCAGCTCAGGGTTTAGGGTTTAGGGTTTAGGGTTTAGGGTTTAGGGTTTAGGGTTTAGGGTTTAGGGTATTTGTGGTGTCTAGGCTGGGGTTCAGAGACTGTGCAGGTGGATGGTGTTTACACCACCTCCCGGACCGAGACACCGGAGGCCACCGGCTTTGGTGCTTAGGGTTTAGGGTTAGGGTTCATGGACAGCAATGCATCGTTGACTTCCTGGAGGTACCCCATCATCTTGACATGCAAGACTGCCTGCCGGTTTAGGGTCTAGTGTTTAGGGTTTAGGGATAGGGTTTAGGAGTGCAGACCGTGGGCTTTCGTCTTGGGATGATGTCTGGGGATGTTTGGGGGCTTTGTGATGAGGAATCCTCCCCCTTATAGACTCCAGCGCTAAGATCCCCTTCAACCCTAAACCCTAAACCCTAAACCCTAAATCCTAAACCCTAAACCCTAAACCCTGTAGAAGGCTTCAAGGGCCTAAACCCTATGCCCTCCACTGAAGCCTTTTGAGCCCTGTAAAAGTTTGAATCTGTGCTGGACGCCCGAGAGGCCCCGTATGTCCTGAACGCCCCCTCACAAACCTTAAACCCCAAGCCCCCATCCGTAAGCCCCACGCCCTCAACCCCAAAACCCAAAACCCCAGCCCCCAAACCCTAGCCCCCTCAACAGTTTAGGGTTTAGGGTTTAGGGTTTAGGGTTTGGGGTTTGGGGTTTAGGGTTTGGGGCTTGGGGTTTAGGGTTTCGGGAGAACCCGAACTTCGAGACCCCTAAACCCGAACCCCCTAAACCCTAAACCCCATAAGCCCCCCAACCCCGAAACACCCAAAAGCCAAAAGTTCCGAAACCCCAAAGCTCCAAACCCATACCCCTACACCCCCCAAGAACTCCCAAACCTCCAAACCCCCCCAAAATCCCGTAAACCCCGAAGCCCCAAACCCGAAACCGCCCTAATTAAACCCTAAGCCCTAAGCCCTAAGCCTTAAGCCCGAAACCCTAAACCCTAAAGCCTAAAGCCTAAACCCTAAACCCTAAACCCTGGGTGCCCATACAGGAGGCTGCTGTGCGGAGGGAGCTGGAGGCAGTTGTCTGATACAAGGTTTGGGGTTTAGGGGTTTAGGGGGTTTAGGGTTTAGGGTGTAGGGTGGGTTTAGGGGCTTCAGGGGTTTTACGGGTTTAGGGCATACAGGGTTTTAGGGGGTTTTTGGGGTCTAGGGATTTAGGGTTTAGGGGTTTGGGGTGTAGGGTTTTAGGGGCTTCAGGGAGTTTCGGGGGTCTAGGGATTAGGGTTTCGAGTTTTAGGGGTTTTAGGGGCTTAAGGTTTGGTTCGGGTTCCAGGGCATCTGGCTTTTCCGGGTCAAGGGCCGAGTTGTTGGGGACTTGGGTGTTCCAAGGTAGGCATTCAAGAATCTACGCGCCCACCCTCAGCCCGAAATCCTAAAATCCCTACACCCTTTAAAGCGGTTTTCGGCACACATGAACAACAAGCCCAGTGCCGCGAAAGAGTCTGGAATGGGAGAGGCTGGAAAGGACAAGAAGGAGATGGAGACAAGCAAAAGCATATAAAGTGCTACAACTGTGGCGAGAATGGACATTTCGCCAACAAGTGTCCGAAGCCCAAGAGAGGCAAAACCGCAACAGCCGCGGCGGTGCTGTTGGAGCCCCAGCTTGCAGCTGCAGTCAGCTTGGAACCTCAGGTTTTTGCCGTTGTGCTTGAAAGTGATGGTTGTCCTGTGTTCCGGATGAATGCAGGAAATGCTGACTCGGAAGGGCTAAGCGACGCGGATTGGGAAGAGTTCTGCGATGCGTTTGAGGCCCCGTTGGCGCTTGGAGTCCCCCCCCCCCCCCCCCCCGGTTGAGACCCCAGCTGGGCCGACTCGGCTGCTTCCGAAGTCACAGTACCTCACTGAGGTGGCACCTCTGAAGGGGTTTCGCTGCCATACCCTAAGCCCTATTCGGTAGGGTTTTGGGACATTGTATATTTCCCCTTTTTGGGTTTCAGAGGATCCTACTCAGGAACATTTTTGGGAGGCTTCTAAGGGCCATCCTAGCCTGAACCCCGTTCCCGGTAAGGCCCCTATGCTTCGACAGTCCTCAACGGCCCATGGTACAACCTGAAGGTTTAGGGCTTAGGGTTTAGGGTTTAGGGCTCCAGGGTTTGAATGTTTTGGGGTTCAAGGTTTAAGGTTTAGGACTTGGAGTGGAGGGTTCAAGGGTTTAGGGTTTAGGGTGTAAGGGTTTGGGGCCCCTTTTCTGAGACTGCCAGGGCTGAGGGACCGAATCCTTAATATAATCTGCCAGTAAGTGCTTGGAGGTTCATGGGTAGTTATAAGTAGGGTTATATACTTCAAATACCCTACTTAGGGTGCCTACAACCCTACTTATAACTACCCTTTAAGAGGTAAAAGGAGGGGCCCCTGCAAGGGGCCCTCAATCTTATTCCCCTATATATACCTTATATCGTCCCTATATACCTACTAAGTAGCCCCCCCCCCCCCCCCCAATAACCCTCAAAGAACCTGTAAGGTCCCTTATAAGAGTCCCTCCTTTAGGCCCTTGAACCCCGTAACCTCCAAGCAAGCGCCTTCCCCCGGAGGCGCAGATAGAGAGGGCCCTGCGCGAAGAGAAGGAGCGAAGGGACGCCTCTGAGGCCGATGTGGGCGGGCGTGGGATTCGTTTCTAGCTAGGCCTTGGGGATATTGTATACTTATTTTCCTTTCTTGGGTTTAGGAGGTTTAGGGTTTAGGGTTTAGGAGTCTTTTTCAGAGGGTTCGAAGGGCCATCCATCCTAGGTTTTCGCGGGGCCTTGTCTTTTTTTGGCTGCTACGCTGGGTTTAGAATGTGGTCTGTGCCGTCGGTTGTCGGAGTCACCTCGTTTAGGGTTTAGGGTTTAGGGTGCAGGGGCCCTAACCCTAAACCCTAAGCCCTAAGCCCTAAGCCCTAAGCCCTAAGTCCTAAGCCCTAAGCCCTAAGCCCTCAGCCCTAAGCCCTTAAGCCCTTAAGCCCTTAAGCCCGAAGCCCGAAGCCCGAAGCCCGAAGCCCGAAGCCCGAAGCCCGAAGCCCGAAGCGCTAAGCCCTAAGCCCTAAGCCCTAAGCCCTAAACCCTAAGCCCTAAGCCCTAAGCCCTAAGCCCTAAGCCCTAAGCCCTAAGCCCTAAGCCCTAAGCCCTGAGCCCTGAGCCCTGAGCCCTGAGCCCCGAGCCCTAAGCCCTAAGCCCTAAGCCCTAAGCCCTAAGCCCTAAGCCCTAAACCTAAACCCTCCCAGCGCCGCGCTTTGTGCAGGCTGACGACGAGCAAGCGCAGCGATCCAAGCGCAGACGCAGTGCGAGCCCCAGTAAAGGGGATGTACCTTGGACCCTGAAGGTTGTGCCCTCGGGTTTTGGGGAACCTTTCTCAAGCTCCTTGAGCTAGTATAAGGGCCATGTTAGGAGTAAATTCAGGGGAACCTTTAGGGGTACAGAGCCTTAATCCCTTGACCCAGTTTGGGCCTGCTTGCGCCACCTTGTGGAATTTGTTTGGGTTTAGGGTTTAGCACTTGGGCAGTTCTCGAAATTGAGTCCGTTTGGAAGTTCCTATGATCTATATACGGGTGCCGTATGCTAGAGAACTTCATATGTCTGGTTTATGGAAGGCAGCACATGTCTAACACATTTTTTGAGTGTCCCTGTTCTTGTGGATGTCGGATGGAGACACGCATCATAGCTTGATGTCCGCACCTCGCTCACGCTCAGTACGTCCGGTCCAGGTCTCTAGACAGCCCTAAACCCTAAAGGTTCCCTAAGCCCTCAACCCTACAACCCTCGGCCCTCAACCCCAAACCCTACATCCTAACCCCTATAAACTCAATCCCAGGCCTCGAAGCGATTCTTCAGGCTCCTTGCTGGGCAACGCGTTCAGGGTGCAGGGTTCAGGGTTTAGGGTTTAGGGTTTAGGGGCTTATCGTGTTTGTAGGGTTTATGGGGTTAACAGGGTTTGTATGGTTTATGTGCTTTGTAGGGTTTATAGGGCTTATGGGGTTTAGAGGGTTGATAGGGTTTATGGGGTTTCATAGGGGAGCCTATGGTTTAGTGATTTGGTTTCGGTTTCAGGGTTCAGGGTTCAGGGTTCAGGGTTTGGTGCCCTTGTTAGAGCATGCAACCGTGAACCCTAAACCATATCGCCTGCATTATTCAGAGTGTCCTCATGTAGACAAACCCTAAACCCTAAACCCTAAACCCTAAACCTTAAACCCTAAACCCTAAACCCTAAACCCTAAACCCTATAGGGCCCAGGGGGATGTTGAGGGCTTCGTGTGCCCCCTTTGCATCTACCACCGAAAGGGCCGAGCGATGTGCAATCCCGCTTTCTTATAGGTCAAGCTATTCAGGGCCCAGGACCCAGAGTATGCCCCTAGGTAGGCCCTGGGTACATTTTATATGTTCCCTTATTGGGTTTAAGAGGGTCATATTCAGGAATATTTTTCAGAGGGTTTTAAGGGCCATCCTAGCATTATTCCCCTTTTCTTAAGGTTTTAGGTTCCCTTATGCTGCCCTTGAAATTACAAAACCCAGAAGGGCACCCTTCTGATTCCTACTTTCGGGTCTAGGAGCGTATGGCCAGGGATGGTTCGGCACCCTAAGCCCTAGACCCTAAACCCTGGACCCTAAACCCTAAACCCAAAACCCTACACCCTAGACCTTAGACCCTAAACCCTAAACCCTAAACCCTAAACCCTAAACCCTAAACCCTAAACCCTAAACCCTAAACCCTAAACCCTAAACCCTAAACCCTAAACCCTAAACCCTAAACCCTAAACCTGCAGCCGACATAGCGGAAGGCTTGGCGATCGCCACAACTTGCCTTCAGAAGCTCCAAGCTCTCGCTACTAGTCGGTTAAGAACCCCAAAAAGAAGAAAAACTAATACTCCCTATATTTCCCTTAGTAAGGAAGAACATTTTTTTTTTTTGTTGGTTTTTTTCCGGGGTTCCTAAGCAATTAAATATGAATAGCTTGGCGCTGAAGCACATGCATCTGCATTGTATTGCTCTCATGCTTCCCTTGCCGGTCACTCCCCTTTTTTGGCCCTCTGTCTCTCTTTTAATTATTTTTTGTGTGTGTGTGTGGAAAGTGAGCCAAGTGGAAGAATGCCAGTCGCCCAATACAGTACCCCTGAACGAATCCGGGAATTACCGCTAGTGCCTTAGTTCATATTCATCACCCCCTAGAAATGCCATGCTCCCAAAATACCTTCCAAGACAACTCTGAACTCTAAATCCTAAACCCTAAGCCCGCAAACCCTAAACCCTAAAACCTAAACCCTAAACCCTAAATCCTAAACCCTATGCCCCCAAACCCTAAGCCCCAAAGCCGTGGACCATGGACCATGAGAAGCAGGCACAGAAGCTTCAGAGGTTGGGCCGCGCGGCAAAAGCACAGGCGGCAGCCTGTTTACAGGGTCCTCTCATGCGACCGGGGGGTTCCGGTGGTTATTAGGGTTTAGGGTTTAGGGTTGAGGGTTTAGGGTTTAGGGTTTAGGGTTTAGGGTTTAGGGTTCAAGGGGCAGGGCTCAAGGTGGGTATGTAACCCAAGGTTCCCTAGTACTCCCCACTACTCCCTGAGGCTCCCGAAGCTTCCCTAACTTAGGGAACCTTAGCAAGGTTCTGTAGGTACCTACCCCCCATGAACCCGCCTCCCTGAAGAACCCTACAACCTCTTCACGCGAAAGATCGTTTGCGCTGGATACCCATAGCACCCCTTAAGGCATTCAGGAATAGGGTGTAGGGTTTACGGTTTAGGGTTTAGATACCCAGGGAGCCCCTTGGGCCCCTTGAGGGATTCAGAACAGCGTTAAGACACCCAGAGAGCCCCTTAAGCTTTAAGCCGCTTCAGGAATCCTACTGTTCAGGTCTTCGGTATAGGGGGGTTGATCTGAGTTAGGGTAGCAGTACCTGCCCACAAGCGGATCAACCCCCACAACACCTTAGCCGTACGTGCCCACAAGCGGATCAACCCCCACAACACCTTAGCCTGCACCTGGACCACCCTAAAGCCCAAACCCTAAAACGCCTCTAAACCGCAAGCCCCTCGTAATCAAGCAACCCTCCCATGTTCTTCAAAGAAAGGACGTTGGCTTACTGGTCATCTGCAAGTGTAAGGACTTCGATCGACGCAGGATTCCTCGTGTAGTAGTGCGTTTTGCAAGTCAAGGGAGCGTGCAACATGTCGACTATCGAGCTGCAGGCCAAGCTCACTGAGCTTGCGGAGGCATTGGCTGAGTCTTGGGCGCTTCTGTCCAGCTGCTGCTGCCGCTGCCCGCAGGTCCGCAGGTGGCTGCCGATGTGCCAGCTCCAGCCAGGACACCACCTAGCAATGAGCCAGGCGCAAGTGACGGTGCTGCTCATGTGCCTCTTGCAGTCGGCTGCGAAGCCGGTAACCCGTTTAGTGAACCGCCAATGCGCGGCCAGCCTTGCGGCTCTCAACTTGACCGCAGATCCAGGGGTTCATTCTGGGGAAGACAGAAGATGCCGAAGCTGCAAACGGCCAGGGCCGTCTGCCGGCGTCTTTTCAAGATGGCGGCTGGTGCTGCAGTTTGCCTTTACCCTCCTTGGGTGCTGCAAACGGCACATGCAAGGGGTAGGAACTAGCCCCCTAAACCCTAAACCCTAAACCCTAAACCCTAAACGCTAAACCCTAAACCCTAAACCCTAAACCCTAAACCCTAAACCCTAAACCCTAAACCCTAAACCCTAAACCCCAAACCCCAAACCCTAAACCCTAAACCCCTCCCTGGAAGCTTGTTGCGAAGTGCGCGTGATTTCCTACACTGGGGTAAGCGCTAGTTTGAGTTTCAGCCATCTCATCTAGGGTTTAGTGGCTTAGGGTTTAATTAGGGTTTAGGGTTTAGGTTTTAAGGTTTTGAGGTTTAGGGTGTAGGGTTTAGGGTTCACGTAGCTCAGATTTCTTGGTAAAGCGGCCCTCTGCACAGGTTGCCCGGGGCAGCGGCAAGGGAGTGAAGCTTGCGAAGGCGCCGCAGGCGGGCTTCGCAAAATTTCCCTTGGCTTTCCTCTGGCTGGCAATTGGGTCTTTGTCCTTTTGGGTTTGTGTAGAACCCTGAACCCTAAACCCTAAACCCTAAACCCTAAACCCTAAACCCTAAACCCTAAACCCTAAACCCCAAACCCTAGACCCTAGACCCTAAACCCTAAACCCTAACTACAATAAGGAGCCTACAGGTTCAACTTTTAGGAACTCAGCCAAGTTCCCCAGAAATCACCGGCCCCTCTTGATTGGACCCCTGATAATCCCTTCCCCCTAGTATTGAACCCTCCCCCCACCCCCTAACATTATATACTCCCAATCATAGTGTTATTACAGTATATGGCGGGGGGGGGGGGGGGTTTAATATTGGGGGGTAGGGGGGGGTTTAATATTTGGGGGAGGGGATATAGTTTAAGGCAGAATCCTTGAAAGGAATTGGGCTCTCGGTGTGTTGCTTCGGTGCCCTCAGACGTCAGAGAGCCTGGGGGTTGCTAGATCCATGCAGAAGGCATCCAAGCCTGTTTTCTTGACAGTGCCTGGGGCTTGGGTTTAGGGTTTAGGGTTTAGGGTTTAGGGTTTAGGGTTTAGGGTTTAGGGTTTAGGGTTTAGGGTTTAGGGTTTAGGGTTTAGGGTTTAGGGGTAGGGTTTAGGGTTTAGGGTTTAGGGTTTAGGGTTTAGGGTTTAGGGTTTAGGGTTTAGGGTTTAGGGTTTAGGGTTTAGGGTTTAGGGTTTAGGGTTTAGGGTTTAGGGTTTAGGGTTTAGGGTTTAGGGTTTAGGGCTTAGGGCTTAGGGCTTAGGGCTTAGGGCACGGAGGTGCTGCTTGACAAGACCCTACCCGCTGAGCCTTGATTAAGCCCTAAAACCCTGAGACCCGAACCCTGAACCCTAACACCTAAATCGATGGCGCCGGGCTTGAAGTAGCCAAGCCATTCCAGCAGAATAATCCATGACCGTGCAAGGACAGTTGCAATCAACAACTTCAAGTATGGTTCCTTTGAGTAAGCTCAACCTAGATGCTGGTTACCTCGAGACTTCAAGCGCCTATATTTTGCCGTCCTGACCTCGGAACCTCTCAACCCTCAACCCCTCAAACCCTGAACCCTCGACTCAAAGGCCCAAACCCCCAAACTCTGACCCGCAAACTCTGAACCCTAATCCTGAATCCTGAACCCTAAACCCTAAACCCTGAAGTTCCTTAAGCCCTGAAGTTCCTTAAGCCCTTCCTGGAGTCCTGAAGTTCCTGGAGTTGCCATAAGCCCCAAACCCTAAACCCTCAACCCCAAACCCTAAACCCTAAACCCCAAACCCTAAACCCCAAACCCTGACAAGCTGGAGGCCTCTGCGTCATGGCGGCTGCCTGAGCACTTCCGTCCTCCGGAAGAGAAGGTCCTCCTTTTGCCCTGTAGTGGGTTTAGGGTCTAGGGTCTAGGGTTTAGGGTTTAGGGTTTAGGGTTTACGGGGGTTCGACGAGTACCCTTGTTAAAGTAAATGGTTGCTGGGCTACCCTAACCGGGACCCTAACCCCAAAGCCCTAAACCCTAAACACTGTAAGCCCTCAACCCTAAACCCTAAACCCTAAACCCTAAACCCTAAACCCTAAACCCTAAACCCTAAACCCTAAACCCTAAACCCTATACCCCTAAACCCTATACCCTATACCCTATAAATCCTCAACCCTAGATCCCACCAAGTCCTTGAGTCGAAGGGTAGTTGCGTGATGCTTACCTTTCTTAGAAAGTTTTGAAGTATGGGCCCTTGGGTTGCTTCGGGCACATCAGGAGCAAGCACCCTAAACCCTAAACCCTAAACCCTAAATCCTAAACCTAAACCCTAAACCCTAAATCCTAAACCCTAAGCCCAAAGCCCTGCCTACTTCATTGCGCCATAGCAGCTAGGCTCCCCACTTCAGGTAAAGCCTAAACCCAAAAACCCTGAACCCCAAACCTACCCGGAGCCTTAAAGGCTTTGCCGAAACCCCTCAGGGGGTCCAGGTCCAGGTAGGATTTGATTTAGCAAGCCGGAGTGCTACCGCCACGCAGGAGCCTCAAGATGTCACAAGCTTCAACTCTTTTAGGGTTTAGGGTATTCTACATTCCTCAGGGCTGGCAGCCGTCCAGTGCCCTGGGTTACCTTATGGTCCCTTTGGAATCATACTACAGTACCCCCCAAAACCCTCTTGAAAGTATTCAAGGCCCCTATATGAGCCAGCTTGGATTTGCTCCTCCAGCTTAAACCCTAAACCCTAAACCCTAAACCCTAAACCCTGAACCCTGAACCCTGAACCCTAAACCCTAAACCCTAAACCCTAAACCCTAAACCCTAAACCCTGAACCCTGAACCCTAAACCCTTAACGGCCCTAAACCCTAAACCCTAAACCCTAAACCCTTAACCCTAGACCCTAGACCCTAGACCCTAGACCCTAGACCCTAGACCCTAGACCCTAGACCCTAGACCCTAGACCCTAAACCCTAAACCCTAAACCCTAAACCCTAAACCCTAAACCCTAAACCCTAAACCCTAACCCTAAACCTCAACTAAGCGGTATTCTGGGCGCTCTCTGGGGAGGATCCAAAAGGCGGCGCCGCAGCGGACCCTGAGACGCTTTGGAGGAAACCTGTGGCCTGGGAGGGCTTAGGGTTTCGGGTTTAGGGGGGGTTTAGGGTTTAGGGTTTCGGGTTTAGGGGGGGGTTTAGGGTTTAGGGTGTAGGGTTTAGGGCTTAAAGGGCTTGTAGGGCTTATAGGGCTTGCAGGGCTTATAGGGCTTATAGGGCTTATGGCGCTTATACGGCTTATGAGGCTTGTTGGGCTTATAGGGCTTGAGGGCTTATAGGGCTTATAGGGCTTATAGGGCTTATAGGGCTTATAGGGCTTATAGGGCTTATAGGGCTTATAGGGCTTATAGGGCTTATAGGGCTTATAGGGCTTATAGGGCTTATAGGGCTTATAGGGCTTATAGGGCTTATAGGGCTTAGGGTCGACATGAGGTGTTTTTGTTGTTTTAGGGCTTGCGGGTTTAGAGAGTCTAGGGCCTAGGGGTTTTAGGATTTCAGGACCTAGGGTTTTGAGGTTTTTGGAGGGTTCGGGGCGTGTAGGGTTTGGGATTTAGGGATTGGCTGAGGGTTGTTTTGCTCACGCGCCTGTTAGCGGCCTTGGGTAAAACGCTAGTTTCTGCACTTGTTGGTGACTTGTTCCGCTTTTCTGGGGGGGGGGGGGGTAACGTTCTTGACTGGCATGCCTGCAGTCGCTGCGGGCTTCAGCGACAACATGTCTTGGCAAATCAGCGACAACGTGTCTTTGCAAATGGAACACATGTGCGCATGGAACACAACTACGGGGTTCAGCGACAACGTGTCTGTGCACATGGAGCACATGTGATCCGACCGTGTCTCTCTTCCGCTGACGTGCGGCCATGCCGACCAACGACAGGAAGCGCTTCTCTCTGCGGAAAGGCCGGGCACAACCTGCGTGGCTGCACGCTGCCGGGATCTGCGTCGTATAGAAACCTGCGAGCAGCAGCCCGGGGCCAGCGAGAACGCCAAGGCTGCGGCTTGTAGGAAACGCAGCGATGCTGCGGCTTCTTGCAGCTAGCGGACGCGGTAAGCCAATGAAAGTCTGGCGCGCCGAGAAGCGGAAGCAGTACGAAAAAGCCTGGGCGTGGTGCCGTTGGTCATCGCGAATGGCATGGTCCTTCGGCTCTTGGCCAGTCACCTGAGTCTGTGGTGAGGGAGCTGCTGAATGCCGGGTACCTTCGCTTCCCCGAGCTTTGTCCTACTTGCCACGGAGCTCTACAGGGTCCGTTCTCGCTCAAGGATGTTAAGCAGCCAGGAGACTTGTGTCTTCGCTGCAAAAGCTGGGACTGCCAAGCCCGGCGTCAACGTGCTGGGGCCTTCTGTCCGTTGCTGGATGAGCAGTCTCGCCGCAGGACGCTGCTGCCTGAGAAGCTACTTTCCATCCTGGTGCAGTTCCTGTCCAAGTCCAACCCTCGGATCGACGAGACAGCGCATCTCAATGGCTTGCGCGCCGGCGTGGTCATGCGAGTGCACCATGAGCTGCGATGCGATGTCTGGGAGCCAATGAGGGCCGTGGGTTGCTGACTGCTGACCAAGATACGTCTGAAGGGTGATGTGGAGTTGGACCCCACGTCTGCGCAAGGTGCACGTCATTGCGGCAAACGCAGGTTGGGGCGTCACTCGTGGAGGACTCTTTCTTGCTGGGTGCTTTTCGCGGGTGATATTTAGTCAAGTTTTGCGAACTGGCTTTTGGTTTAGGCCTTGCAGCTGTCGATTCTCTGCTTAGATTTTCCACACTTGCGCAGGAATGGAATCCTAGCCAAGCCACAGCCAAAGTGTTCCAGGCAAGCCCTGGAAACCCGACAAAAAAATCAACGTCCTAGGTCTTTCGTTTTCGCTGGGAACCATGGTGTGTCCGCCCTTCTTCAAGAGCTGAAAACGGTGATGGAGGACTGCTACTACACGTACCACGGCCTGCTGGCGCAGCCTCTCCCACTTGCTCCTTCTGGCGAATCCACCTCGCCAGAAAGATCCCAAGCCCGAAATGTTTTTGCGCGCTTAAACCCTAACCCCTGCCTAGAACCAAACCAAAACGGCAGAACACCCGAGGACAGCTGTCGTGGCCTGGGATGACTCACATGGAACGCATTGCCGAGCGCAACGAAACACCGTGTTTTCCGTGCTTGACGTCTCTGTGCAACCTCAAAACCCTAAACTTGATGAACGTAAGAAATTTACCAGTGCAACCCCGTTGCCCCAAAAACAAGCGAAATGCTGAAATACTGGCGAGCGTGGCACTTTTCAACATAACACCGCATTGCCCAATTCCACCCTGAACACTCACAAAACACAAAACCCGAAAACGTGTAGAAATCGGCAAAAACATATCCCCAAAATAAACACTGCGAAATGCTGAAAACACTGGCAGGCGTGTTCAGGCTGCATGGCAGGGCATTCACAGACCCGGCCCCAAGACTCTTGCATACGCCAGAGTCTTGCACTGCATGGGCATTTGCCACTTCCTGACACATAGGGCTGCTTTGGAGGCTGCTGTGTCGGGCAGACCCTTTGCACCAGCGCCGGATCCTCAGCACCAAGCTCCAGAGCACAGGGATCTGTGGAGCTTCAATCCGCTCTGGCCGGCAGACCTGCCAAAGATCACCTTGTCCCACGACAAGACAGCTGATGCTGTCAAGAACATAGGCCGGAACAGTGACTGGCAAGCAGTGGCCCTGGCACTCGGACATCTTGACAAAGCAGAATGCCTGGCAGATGTCTGCAAAACACCATGTGGAGGAGAAAGCCAGGCAAGAGTGGTGCTTTTCAACTGCGCGCCACCTTACAGTCAGTCCAAGTGCTGAAAAATCAATGCCGCAAAAAAAACGCTTTAAATGTGCGAACACTGCCCTGCGCGGGTTAAAGCCAACTTTCCTGGTGCAAACAGTCCGCGGCCGCGAACAGGCACGTGACCTTGCTTTTGCGGTTTGGGCTTGAGGTTGAGGTTGAGGGTAGGGGTTTGGGTTGAGTGCTTTGTGGGCTCAGAGTTTGGCGAGCTCTGGGGGGTGCAGGCTATAGGGTGTTTTAGATGGTTTTTGGCGTTTCGGAACCCCAAACACTAAAGCCTAGCGTCCCAAGTGTTGCCCGACAAGGCTTTCGAGGACTGTTGCCGAGCTGCTCAGTTTCCTTCAGACTTGGCTATATGCTATACCCCGAACCCCTAAACCCCTAAAGCCTAAATACTGTGGCAGTCCCAGCCAAGACGGGGCCAAATATTGATCTGGGTTGCTGTAAAGGAACTGAAAAGATGGACAGCACCACACAGGAGACCATTCAAGTACCATGTACTTTATGTCCATGTACTTTGCGTTCGCGACCAGAAACCTCCCAAACCTCAAGCCCGTCTCCAAGACCTCAAGTTTCTGAGCCCTATAAACCCTAAAGTCAGAACCCTAAAGTTAGCACCCGAAACCTTACATTCCAGGGCTCCGCCCAGCCAGTCAGGATCGGCGGAGTGGTTGCGCTGGCCGCGAACGGCACAGCGCTCAGGGTGGGGACTGCCATTGCACAATCCTAAACCCTAAACCTTAAGCCCTAACCCTAAACCCTAATTCCAAGAAAACCCTAAACCCTAAACCCTAAACCCTAAACCTTAAACCCTAAACCCTAAACCCTAAACACTGAATCCAAGACCTAAAGCTTCCGAAGCCGCCCAAGCCCCGGAAGCTCACCTCCTCCGGGTTTCAGGGCTTCAGGTTCACCAGAGAGCCCAAGACCCCTCAATGAAGGAATAGGGTTTAGGGTTTAGGGCTTAGGGCTTGGGGTTCAGGGCTTAGGGCTTAGGGCTTAGGGCTTAGGGCTTAGGGTTTAGGGTTTAGGGTTTAGGGTTTAGGGTTTAGGGTTTAGGGTTTAGGGTTTAGGGTTTAGGGTTTAGGGTTTATGTATAGGGTTCAGGGTTCAGGTCCGGAGTTTTGAGCGAAAGTTTCGGGCGAAAGTCTTGAAAGAGTTTTTGCTTTTGCTTTTTGTCTGCACGGATTTGACGAAAGTTCTAGGATTGTGGCTGGTTGGGCTGGGGGCTGGCGGCTGGGGTTGGGGGCTGGGGGCTGGGGCTGGGGCTGGGCTGGGGTTGGGTCTGGGGCTGGCTGGGGCAGGGGCTGGAGCTGGGGCTGGGGCTGGGGGGGCTGGGGCTGGGGCTGGCTGGGGGTTCGGCCTTCTGGGGTGGAGTATTGTACGAGCTACTCGACATGAAACGCATACAATTTCTATTTATCCCGGTCTTGAGGGTTTAGGGTTTAGGGTTTAGGGTTTAGGGTTTAGGGTTTAGGGTTTAGGATTTAGGGTTTAGGGTTTAGGGTTTAGGGTCTAGCTGAAGGGCCCAATAATATACCCCTTAATTGAGGAATGCACCTTAAACCACACTGAGGATCCTTATATGGGCATGCAGGGTTTGTAGGGCGTTCTCTAGGCTTCTTGGAGCGTTTAGGAGTTGGGTGGTAGTGCAGCTAATTGATTCCGAGTTCAAGCTTCAGCTCAGCGCAAGTTAAAGTTAAGCCTCATTTTTCAACCGGGTGACATCCTGGAACTCTAAACCATGGTTTAGGGTTTAGGGTTTAGCTTTTAGCGTTTAGGGTTTAGTGAGCGACGCCCCAAACTCGAAGCCCCAAACCTGTATCCCTGAAACTCTACCTCCTAAACAACTAAGCGCCTGAAACGTCTAAACCCTAAACCCTACGCCCTATAAGCCCTAAACCCTAAACCCTGATCTTCCAAGCAGCCGAACCCTAAACCCTAAACCCTAAACCCTAAACCCTAAACCCTAAACACCTAAGAAAATTCCGGAATCTCTCAACGTGAGGTTGGCGCCGTTTGGAAAGTCGCCGCCGGCCTGGTAGGCCAGGGATGAGACGGGCCTCCAGTCTGAGAGAGGTTTAGGGTTCAGGGTTTGGGATTTAGGATTTAGGGTTATTAGGGTTTTGGGTTTAGGGGTTCTGTGAGGAGTTAGGGGAGTTTGGGGGAGCTCAGGGGTGTCTGGCGGATTTTCGGGGAGTTTAGGGTTTTAGGGCTGTTGAAGGCTTCGGGTTTCATTTATTGGGAAGGAGTCAGAGAGGCCCAAACCCCTGAATGAAGGAATATACCGTCAACCATATAGGGGCCCTTACAATGATTTAAGGTATATTCCTGAATAAAGGGGCATCGGGCTCTTTGTGGAGTCTGGGGCGTTTGGCGGGGGGGGGGGGGGGGAGGAGTTCGGGAGTTAGGGGGCTGAGGAGTTTTAAGGGTTTTGGGGGGTGTAGGTTTTGGCGGAGTTTAGGGTTTAATTAGGGTTTAGGGTTTTGGGTTTAGGGTTACAGCTTTCGGGTTTAGGGTTCAGAGGCTTCGAGGAAGTCTAGGTTTCAGGCTCTCAGAGCTTCAGGGCTTTCTTGTTTGGTCCTTGGGTAAAGGGATTTTGTTTTTGTTGTGTTTGGCTTGGGGTGAAGGGCGCGAGTTTTGGGCCTGGAGTTTAGGGAATGTGGGGCACGTCCTTCAGGGCATTTTCCTTGCATGGTTGCCCGAGCAAACTGAGGAAAGGAAAGCAGTGAACCCTGCACCCTAAACCCTAAACCCGATTCCTCAGCTCAAAGGAGATAGCCGTGCCAGCAGGTCCTGATCCCTACTTGGAGGTTCATGGGTCGTGATTTGTAGGGGTTCTAATTACATGCCCTAAATCGGAGTATAAGCATAGGTACCATACTTAGAACTCATAACCCCTACTTATAACTACCCAAATGAACCTCCAGCAAGCCCTTTTCGGAGCCCCTGAGCCTTAACCTTAGATGTCTCCTCCTCTCCTCTTTCGCAAGCCTAAGCCCTAAACTCAAAACCGTAAACCCTAAACCTAAGCCTATCCCTGAAGAGCGGGAGGTTCTACTTCCTCCACGATGCGTTCCGTCCTTGGGGCGGGTCAATTTCAGGGCTTCTGGTTCATTTTACCTTACTGTTGGTTAGCAGGGAATGGGGGAATGAGGTACCCTATACAATCCCTTAAAGGGTAAATATGGTGCAGCGTCGGGTCCCCCCACCCCCCCCACCCCCCCCATGCCCCCCCCCCCCCCCCCTCCAAATTCTTTCCCCGCCCCGCCCCCTGTGGTTTGGGGGTGGAGTGGTTGGGGTTTGGGTTTAGGGTTTAGGTTTAGGGTTTAGGGTTTAGGGTTTAGGGTTTAGGGTTTAGGGTTTAGGGTTTAGGGTTTAGGGTTTAGGGTTTAGGGTTTAGGGTTTAGGGTTGAGGGTTTAGGGTTTAGGGTTGAGGGTTTAGGGTTTAGGGTTTAGGGTTTAGGGTTTAGGGTTTGCTGTGATAGGGCGTAGATGCTGTGAAGGTTAGGTTTCGGAACAAGCTCGAAAGCTTCGTGAGGTGCGAAGAGCAGCTTAGGCCCGATTGTGGAGGGCCATCTAACAACTTTCTCCCACCCCACGCCGTCCAAGGCGGCAAAGCCACCCAAACCTATTCCTTTTAGGGTTTAGGCCTAAACTCAGAAAACAGCCCACTTCTAAAAACTTAGGCAGTTTCAGGAAAGGTTGCAGTAAGTTTTAGAGAGGCGGGCTCGGCCAGGCACCCAGTCAGGGACCAGCCGGTTGTGGGTGGCAGGCCTGGCAGGGTCAGAGGAGGGCAGGAGGCCCAGCGAGGGGTCAGGGGGGCCAGGTGGGGGGCCAGACAAGGGTGTGGGGTTTCGGTTTAGGGGTTTAGGGTTTAGGGGGGGTGGGGGGGGGGGGGGGGGGGGGGTGGGGTGGGGGGTGGGGTGGGGGGTGGGGTGGGGGGTGGGGTGGGGGGTGGGGTGGGGGGTGGGGTGGGGGGTGGGGGTACCGACACGGGACACGGAACCAAAAGATCTGCGTTTTTTTAGGCGCTCGAGCATAGGTACTTTGCAGCGGACATTGTTTTTGTCCGCGGCAGGGGTGAAGAGGTGAACAAGATTCCGCGGAAGGTCGCGGAAGGGTCCGCGGAAGGCGTGGTGTCCGCGCAAGGCTCGCGGAAGGGCGGCGTGCTTGAAACTTAGATATAATGGATGCCCAACATGCCGGCAACCGTTTCGGAGAGCGGATCTGCGCGGAAGGCCCGCGGAAGGGTTGCGGAAGCTCCGCGGAAGGCGACGGGTCGTTTTGGAGGCCTAGATAGAGTCCATGCCTCATCCTCATATACACATTATGCACTCATTTCTGTTTCGGGCCAGGTGCGAAGGTGGAATCGCGTTTCCGCGGAAGGCTCGCGGAAGGCTCGCGGAAGGAACGCGGAACAGGCAGAACACGCCGTGCGGAAGGGTTATAATGTCCATCGATTCATGCTAGAGAAAAAACACGGCTCATATATAGGGCCTTAATTCCCTCATTCGCTGCTACCCAACAGTAAGCTACAACGTCCTACAAAACTGCCAAAATTCAGGATGAGGCCTTAAGATTCCGGAGGCATCCATGCTACGCAGTCTCTACTGTAGAACCTGTTTATATCCCATTGAGCATTGAATCTAAAGATGTTACTAACGAAATTGCACAGTTTTTTGTGCTACATCAGTATTCATTTTTATATTTTGTTTGTTTTTATTTGATTTTTAAACGTGTTTGTCCAGCAAAGAACTCAATAAATCTGCAATAAAATCAACATTATTTGTTGCTCCAACACCGCCTGCTGAATCACCAGTAACCAAAATATATTTTACAAAATGGTTCTGAGCACTAAACCCCAATTAAACCGAAAACCCTTTTTCCTATAAATCCTAAACCCTAAATCCTAAATCCTAAACCCTCCTCAATTTAGAAGGGGTAAGGGAGCAGGACGCCTGAGGAATCTCAGGTGGCTTTGCAGCTCAATACAGGGTTTCATCGTCTTGCGGCTTTAGGCTTTTGGGGTTGTAGGGCTTAGCGGGAGTGTAGATGTAGGGACTACAAACCCTAAACCCTAAACCCTAAAAGCCCTAAAAACAGAATCCTTGCAGAGCTGGCCGGGGCTGGGCCAAAGGCCCGGAAACAGCCTCTGCAAGGGTTTAGGGTTTCGGGCTTCAGGGTTTTAAGGTTTTGGGTTTAGGGTTTCAGGGTTTTAGGATCCTAAACCCTACACCTTAAGCCCTGAACCCGAAACCCCATAAACTCTCCCTGAAACCCTCGAGCCGCGAGCCCAAAGGTTCCCCCGACTTCAAACACTAGGATGCGCAGGAAGTTGTAACCCTGTTACTTGTTTTAAGGGTTCAGGGTTTAGGGTTTAGGGTTTTGCTTTTGAAAGAAACTCCGCAGGCCCATAAAGGTACCCCCTCATAGATCTTGGGTTGCTATGGGGCTGGAACTAGAGCAGTGGATAACTTGCTGGAGGAAGTCTCGAATCGTCAGTTTGGCCAGGGGGTTTAGGGTTTACGGTTTTGGGTCTAGGGTTTGGGTTCAAGCCACGCATATTTGAGTTGTGAAGCGCTCAACAACCCAAGCCCCATAACCCCTTACACCCCTAACCCTGCGCTCTGGGCTCTGGGAGGGTCTCCAACCTCTCCCAAAGGTATCCAAGTATTCCCGACCGTTTATTCTGGGAGGTACCCGTAAACCCTAAACCCTAAACCGCCTAAACCCCCTAAACACCCTAAACACCCTGAACACCCCAAACACACCAAACACATACCCCAAACACCCCAAACACCCCAAACACCCCAAACACCCCAAACACCCCAAACACCCCAAACACCCCAAACACCCCAAACACCCCAAACACCCCAAAACACCCCAAACACCCCAAACACCCCAAACCCCCCAAACACCCCAAACACCTAAACACCCAAACACCCCAAACACCCCAAACCCTAAACCCTAAACCCTGCCTTGCGGGGACCCTGTCCAGCTCGAGGTCTGGACTCTCTAAGGCAGCCGCCGCAGACGGCCAGCGGCTCAAGGGAGGGAAGCCCTAAACCCTAAACCCTAAACCCTAAACCCTAAACCCTAAACCCTAAACCCTAAACCCTAAACCCTAAACCCTAAACCCTAAACCCTAAACCCTAAACCCTAAACCCCAAACACAAACCCTAATACCTCACAACTCCCTAGAACGTGAAATCCGTTCGTACCAGGAGGGAGTGAGGGCTTCAATCCTTGGGGATTTGGATTCTGAGTGAGATCCGAACTTTCAAGCAATGAAGCTGCTGATGTGTTCAATTTGGGGTGTTGGGGGTAAGGTCTTATTGGGGGGTTTAGGCTTTAGGTTCAGGGTTTAGGGTTTTGGGGGGTTTTAGGCTTGCAGGCCTGCGTCTTCAAGACACCGAGGTGCGCCAGACTGCCTGACTCAGGACCGCGAGGGGTTTAAGGGTTTGAGGTATGAGGCCCTTGAGGGTGAAGCGTGTTTAGGGTTTAGGGTTTAGGGCTTAGGGTGCAGGGTTTAGGGTTTGGGGCTTGGGGTTGAAGGGGGTGTAAGGATTAGGGTTTCTTTTCAAGCATGGCAGATGTTGCATGCCATTTGGGAAGCTCCGGACCTCAATCCCCTAAACCCCACCATGCACCCTGAACCCTAAGCCCTAAACCCTAAACCCTAAACCCTAAACCCTAAATCCTAAATCCAAAACCCTAAACCCTAAACCCTAAACCACCAAACCCTAAACCACCAAACCCTAAACCACCAAACCCTAAACCACAAACCCTAAACCCTAAACCCTGAAACCCCAACAGTTAGGACACGTTCAACAGGGTCCATCATTTTTGAACAGCCCTTGCGCCTTAGCCTCCAGCGGGAGATACACGGTCCCTTAGTATGGGCGCTTAAAAGGGGAGGTAAGGGACCATATTAAGGGCCCACGAGACTCCCCTTAGCGCTTATCGCGGAAGGCATTTGGGGTTTGGGGTTCAAGAGTCGAAAACAGGTTGCCGTGTCGGCCCTTAGGCTTTAGGGTTTGGCGTTTAGGGTTTAGGGTTTCGGGCTTAGGGTTTAGGGTTAAGGGTTTGGGGTTTAGGGTTTGGGGTTTAGGGTTTCGGATTTGGAGTTTCGGATTCAGGGTTTAGGACTTCGGGTTTAAGAATCACTGTTTTAATTAATAGCGTTTGTTGCAGCTGCCACCTTTGCTACTGGAATTGTTTCGAAAGGTTGTCAGCATCATTGTCATCATCATCAATATTGCTGTTCAATTTTTTGTCAGGGCTGTTCGGAACGGCGACGATCACGGTTGCTCTATTGTCAGGATGCAGGCTTCTTGCTGGAGAAGCCCCAAGTGCTCAAAGCCCCCACCATCTGCCAGATCTCAACCCTTTTCAGCCAGAAGGAACCCCTACACCCTAAACACCAGCTTAGGATTCAGGATTTAGGGTTTAGGGTTTAGGGTTTAGGGTTTAGGTTTTAGGGTGTATGGTCCATACACCATGGGCCCCTCAACCCCGAAGGCCCTGAAAGTCTCAGAAGCTCAGCTGGCCAAGAGTGCCTACCCTAAACCCTAAACCCTAAACCCTAAACCCTCAACCCTCAACCCTCAACCCTCAACCCTCAACCCTCAACCCTCAACCCTCAACCCTCAACCCTAAACCCTAAACCCCAAACCCTCAGCCCCTCAGCCCCTCAACCCCCCTCAACCCCCTCAACTCCCACAAGCCTCAGCGCAAGCCTCGCAAGCTCAGACAAGCCTAGAGGGTGCCGAGCCATGCGCTACTGGCAGTTTCTGCCTGCCTTCTTGGCCACCTGGCAGAAACCTGAAAATCCCAAACAGGTTGAAGGTTTGGGGGTTTGGGATGAGCGCGCCTTAGTGCAATGCCAGCAGCGAAACCCTAGCCGAGTCTAAACTCTGCAAACCCGCAAGCCTGAACTCTAAACACTCAACTCATCTCTAAACTCAGCTTGCACATGGGCTTAGGGTTTAGGAGGGGGTGGGGGCTCTGCTTTCTTCAGTGGCTTCGGCTTCAATGTTTAGACATTCGTCCCGTGTCTACAAGCTCTCGATCCTGAACTGCACCTTGAGCCTGAAACCCTGGGCCTGGCTTAGGGTTTAGGGTTTAGGGTTTAGGGTTTAGGGTTTAGGGTTTAGGGTTTAGGGTTTAGGGTTTAGGGATTGGGGTTTGGGGTTTAAGCCCTGACTCGTTGTGGATAGGCGCTGCCCTTGTGTAAGATGGAGTTCTTGGGATGTTTCGTCGGTGTCTGTGGTTTTTGTCTTGCTGGGTGTGATAGTAGGGAATGTTGTTGATTCAGGTTGGGGTTGTTCAGGGTTCTTGGGAAGCGGGGCAGCTTGATTTTTAGGATCTGGACTGGTCATTTAGGGTCAGTTAGGGTCTAGGGTTCAGGCATTTAGGTCTGAGAGTTTCGAACAATCTGCTTGGTCCCGCAGTATTTGTTTGGCTCAGCAGCCTGGAGTACATCGATCTGGAGGGTCCGTTAAGTGTTTAGGGTTTAGGGCTTAGGGTTTAGGGTTTAGGGTTTAGGGTTTCTCTACAGCTTAGGGCTGTCAGAGCTACCGCTGACTGGCGAAGTCCTCAACGGCCTCCGCCCGAAGAAGTGCGTAGGGCTGCAGCAAAACCCACTTTGTCAGGGTTTAGGGTTTAGGGTTTAGGGTTTAGGGTTTAGGGTTTAGGGTTTAGGGTTTAGAGTTCAGGGTTTAGGGTTTAGGGTTTAGGGTTTAGGGCCCCCACGGTTCGGCAGACTTCCCGGGCTCTCGGAACACAATTGGACCACATGGCGGCCATGAACGCGCGGCAGCTGGCGCATGCGCAGGCCCAGGCCCAGGCGCAGGCCCATGCCCAGGCCCAGGGCCTTCAGGGTCGACTGGCTGGTTTTTGGTAGTGAATGAGGGAATGAGGTACCCTATAGAATCCCTTAAAGCATACATATTCATATATATATATATATAGGGCCCTGATTCCCTCACTCCCTACTAAGAACCAGAGGGTCTACCGTAGGGTTTTCGAAATTTCCCTTTCTATGGGTCCCTTAAAGGGTTCTGAAGTATGGGCCTCTGGGTTATATGGTATATAATAAGGGGTATATGTCCAATCCCCTATCCCTGAATACTAAATCCCCCCCCCTACCCTCTAGTATTAAATGCTCCCAATGGGTTAAGATTGGGGGGGGGGGGGGGGGTTACCGTAGGTTTTCCTGTTTCTTCCCATGGAAAGGGGTGAGGCTTCCCTTAGAGGCCCCCCCGTCTTTCCCACAGTGCTCCTGGGGAGCCTTGTAAGTCAAGAGGAGTCACGGTTGAGGGTTTGGGGTTTGGGGGTTCAGGGTTTAGGTAGGGCCTTGGGCTTTAGGGTTTTGGGCTTTATGTGCTACCTCGCAACACGTGCATGTAGGGAGGGAGGGAGTGCACACGGGCCTACCGACACACCTGCCCGCAGGACATTTGCCAGGGCTAGCTTTGGGTTGATTCGGAATAGATACTAAGCTTCGATGGGCCCTAATCCCTATACAACCCTTTATAATCAAAGAAATTGAATCTGTATGCGGGTTTTGGAGTACCATACTTTAATACATCTTTTTGGTTCTGGGTTCCTATTGTAGCTATGTTTACAAAACAATGTGTACTCTTTTTTTTCCAGGGTCTACTCCAAGTAGGGGTATAGGACCCCCAGATCCACCCCAGTGTTCATGAGAGAGGCTTGGTTAGGATTTAGGGTTTAGGGTTTAGGGCTCTTGGGGGAAGATCGTGTAGACTGGACCCATAGCATGCTCTCAACGTCGAGGTTGCGTGTGTCATCTTGCCATGGATCCACCTCAAAAACCCTTTAAACCCTACACCCTACGATCCTGGGTTTAGGGTTTAGGGTTTAGGGTTTAGGGTTTAGGGTTTAGGGTTTAGGGTTTGGCCCCAAAGCTCTACTCGGCAGTTGGTGGCACAGCAGCAGTATGCTGGCCCCCCTATCTACCTCACGGTGTCCTTGATGAGTGGGCAGCAACCTGGCAGCAAACCCGAAGCCCTAAACCCTAAAACCCTAAGACCCTAAAGCCTAAAGCCTAGTACCCCGAACCCTAAGACTCTGAAGCCGAAACCCTAACATGGGCGAACCTACGAAACCCCATTCCCCTAAGTCCCTAGCCTGGCGCTTAAGCCTTTAAGCCCTTGCAGACCTGCGCTTTCTTCAACATCCCGAAGCCCCAGGCCCCAAAACTGTGTATCTTCAGGGCGAAGTATTCTTGGTGGGACTTTACTACAACTTTGGCACTTTATGAGTTTTGGGGTTCCTCTAACTTATTCAAAGGTTAAAAGAGCAACCAAGTATTAAGGTTCAGGCTGGGACTCGGATGTCCTATTTGCTGGCGCTTGGAGGTCGAGGGCGGGCCTCACTTAGGCAGTTGCGAGCTGCGACTTGGATTCTCCATGGGCCAACATGATGAAGCCCTGATTCAGGTTAAGGGTTTAGGGTTCAGGGTTCAGGGTTCAGGGTTTAGAGTTTAGGGTTTGGGATAGTGGTTAGTCATTTGCAGGTTCCTAAACGCTGAGCCCTAAGCGGCTGCCACCCTTTGAGGAAGCTGACCCTTGACCCAAACTCCACGGGGTTTAGGGTTTAGGGTTTAGGGTTTAGGATTCGGGTTTGGGGTTTAGGGTTTGGGGTTTAGGATTTAGGGTTTAGGGTTTAGGGCCCGTTGGGTTTCAAGGAGGTCTCACGGTTTGGGCCGGGGCTGCCATCCGAGGCAGCAAGGCATCCGTTGCGAGATTTCGTGCCGCTGGGCGCGCAGCGAGTTTCATGAAGATGGGCGTGGTTCAGGGATTGGAGATATAGGGTCTAGGATTCAGGGTTTGGGGTTTTAGGGTTTAGGGTTCAGGGTCTAGGGTTTAGGGTTTTGGCAACTTAGAGTTTAAGGATTCAGGGCTATGTGCAGTTCGCCCGACTCCGCTCACGCTGAGTCAAGGTGTCCCAGATGTGTGTGCTATGTGCAGTTCGCCAAGCCGAAGGACGCTGGAAAGGCCACGGTATCACGAAGGGACAAAGTGAAAGGCCACGCAATGCCAAGCACAGGCTGACAAGCTCCAGGCAGAGGTGGAGGCATTGAGAGCCGAGGCAGCAGAGGCTTGGCTGCGGGCGCACAGAACTTGTTGTTGCGGACTGCCGTGCTGCCATTGGAGGTGCCGATGCTCAACCAGGAGCTGGAGGAGCTTCGAAACTTAGACCTTGCGGTTTAGGGTTTAGGGTTTAGGGTTTAGGGTTTAGGGTTAGGGTTTAGGGTTAGGGTTGAGGGTTTAGGGTTTAGGGTTTAGGGTTTAGGGTTTAGGGTTTAGGGTTTAGGGCTTAGGGTTGAGACTTCAGGGCCTTGGTGTCTAGAACTTAGGGAGGTTTGGGGTCTACCCTAAACACTAAACCCGACAACCCAACGCCCAAAACCCTAATCCCTAAACCCTAAAACCTAGAACCTGAACCCTGAACCCTAAACCCTAAAAAAACCTTAAACCTTAAACCCAAACCCTAAAGCCTAAACCCTTCGTCTTACATCGCTTTCCTGCCATGTCTGTCAGCTGAGAAGAGGCCAAACCCTAAAAGGCTTCAGTGCCCGTAACCTTGCCCCTCGTGCAGGCGTAGCGGTTAGGGTTTCTGGTGTAAAGGCCGAATAGCTGTTGCGGGGAGTGGCCTAGACATGAGACTTTCCCTAAATCCTAAACTAAACCCTGGAGCACGAACATAAAAACAAAGTCTGGGCCTCATGATCAAACCTCCAGATCCGGTGGAGCCCCAGAAACCTAAAACCCTGCAGCCCGACATAGTTGACACTGGGGGCCCTAGACCCTAAAGGCTTAGAGCCCAAACCTTAGAACCCTAAAGCCCAAAACCCTAGAACCTTTCAGGGTTTAGGGTTTAGGTACCCTGAAACCCCCAACCCCGGAACCCAAAAGAACCCAAAACCCTGAACAAACCCTAAACCCTAAACCCTAGAGCCCAGAACCCTAAACCCTTGACCCTTGACCCTTGACCCTTGACCCTTGACCCTTGAACCCTAAACCCTTAACCCTTAACCCTTGAACCCTAAACCCTAAACCCTAAACCCTTGAACCCTAGATCCCTAGATCCCGAGACCCTTCCACAGGGACAGTGAACGAAGTCCGCCGGCGCCCCTCGCCTTATGGGTTCAGGGTTTAGGGTTTAGGTTTTGGGTTTAGGGTTTGGGTTTAGGGTTTAGGGTTTAGGGTTTGCGGGTTGGGGTTTGGGGTTTAGGGGGGGGGGGGGGCCTTCGTCCTCTTACTGTTTGAGACATACGCGGGTACACTATCGGTTGAAATACACACCATGACACACTTCTCGACCCTAAACCTAAACTCCGAATCCTGATGACACGAAGGGCCACGAACCCTAAACCCCCAAACCTGAACCCTGAGCCCTGACTACGAACATGACGGTTTTGCTTACTGCGATCGCTGTTTTATTTAGTTTTAGGGCCTTTAGGACTGTAGGGTTTCGTTTTCGGCTGTTCCGTAGGAGGGCCCTGGGAAGTATTTTTCATTGAGAGGATCTTATTTCGGGGGTTGATCGGGCCAGTTTCTTTTTAGGGAAGTCTAAAACCCTAAACCCTAAACCCTAAACCCTAAACCCTAAACCCTAAACCCTAAACCGAGGATCTGTAAGCACGGTGTCAATCTGGGAGTCTGAGGCCTTTCGGTGCAGGGCCGCGGCTTTAAGGGACCGACTCTACAGCCAACGTCCGACAGACGAAGCGATCGGAGCCTACTTGAAGGTTCATGGTACCTACTAACCAATTATAACTGTACTTATAACCCTACTTATAATACCCCTAAAGGGCCTTATAGGGGTTAGCCCAATTAGAAGTAGGGTTATAAGTACAGTTATACGTGGTTAGTAAGTACCATGAACCTTCAAGTAGAAGCTACCAATCTCATCCACTTCTCATCCCATCTTAGTAGCCGAGTGAGCACACTTTGCACTTTTTGGGATACTAGAATCTCCTATATCACTGAAAGTGTACACTTTTTTGAGGCTTATGAACTCAGCAGCTAAGCCATACTAGCCAAGGAGCGCAACAGAAGTTGAAGACGGGACTGCAGACCCTCTTCTCCAAGGCCGTGGGCTTGTGAGGGGTTTCTGGTTGAAGCCGTCAGCTGTAAACCCCAAACCCTAGAGCTAAGCTGCATAGATGAATGTATAAATAAAAATATAAACATAAATACAAATATAAATAGATACACATTGCATATATCATACACACACATAGATATGCAGTATGTATGTATGTATGTATGTATGTATGTATGTATGTATGTATGTATGCATGTATGTATGTGTGTATGTATGCATGTATGTATGCATGTATGTATGTATGTAGATATGTATGTATGTATGTATGTATGTATGTATGTATGTATGTATGTATACATGTTATGTACCAGATGCGGAACTCCGCCGGGAAGTAACTAGGAGAGGGGGTCCATGCTAAGGCCCAAGCCCAACGAAACTCGAAACCCTAACCCCTCAACCCTCAACCCCTAAACCCTAAATCCTAAACCCTAAACCCTAAACCCTAAACCCTAAATCCTAAACCATAAACCCTGAAGCCCTAAACCTTAAATCCTAAACCCTAAACCCGGACCCTGAACCCCTCAACAGAAGCTTTAAGCCCTTCTGGCGTGAAGGTGCTTTGAAGTTAGGGTATCGGGGCTCTCGGAATGAAAAGGCCCTGAAAGCAACCGCTCTTTGACCCCGAAGGTTCTGCTTTTGATGACTAGGGTTCAGGGGTTTGGGGTTTAGGGTTTAGGGCGGGGATAAGGAAATAACCTCAAACTTGGCCCATGTCGTCACGGACCCACAGCCCTCGGCTTTTGAACTGCGAGCTCAGGAAGCTATGGAATTTCTGCGTATGTACATATCATGATACTTCATCTAAGCTCCAAAACCCGAAGCCCTAAACTTTGAGCAACTCGTTTTAAGCTCCCTAACCCTTCACTCTAAACCCTAACCCTAAACCCTAAACCCTAATCCCTAATCCCTAAACCCTAAACCCTAACCCCCAGCCTTTGCAGGATCGCGAGCTTTGTGGCCGCATGACACTACGAGAGGCTGGCGTGCAGGATAAGGCGCCAGGGGAGGGCCAAAGGGCTTAGGGTTTGGGGTTTAGGGTTTGGGGTTTAGGGTTTAGGGTTTAGGGTTTGGGGTTTAGGGTTTAGGGTTCAGGGTTTAGGGTTTGGGGTTCAGGGTTCAGGGTTTCGGGCTTAGGGTGGCTTGTTTAAGGCGGTAATGGCTTCTTTGGGCGTTGGTTTAGGGTTTTGGGGGGCTCGGTGGGCTGTTTTAAGGGTTTTGGTGCTCCTTGGGCTTATTCAGCTTTTTTTTTTGGGTGGGGGCAAAAAATTGGAGTCATTTAGGGTTTGGATTTGTACGGGGCCTTAAGCGTTTAGGTTTCAGGCACTGTGGGGGTGAGGGCTGTATGGGACATCACATACTACTGTTGGCAGTTCAGGCTTCAAAGTTTAGCCTCAAAATCACCTACAATGAAAACCCCCCCAAAAAAGTGCAAACCCCAAACCCCTCGGGGGCAAAAAATTGGAGTCATTTAGGGTTTGGATTTTGTTGGGGGCCTTAAGCGTTTAGGTTTCAGGCACTGTGGGGGTGAGGGCTGTATGGGACATCACATACTACTGTTGGCAGTTCAGGCTTCAAAGTTTAGCCTCAAAATCACCTACAATCTAAACCCCCCCAAAAAAGTGCAAACCCCAAACCCCTCAAGCCCCCTCCAAAACACCCTAGAATTTCAACCGTTGACCCCAAAACCCTACACCCTATCCCTCCTTCTCTGCCCCCAACGCCCCCTTGGGAGGATCCAAAAAAAGAAGATCCCCTTAAGGATTCCGAGGAATGACCCAACAGTACTACAGGTTGAGATGATCCCTCTTATTCTAACAGTCTTTACTAGGGATGATAATCGGGGGCCCTATAATCTCTATCAAGGACTGTAAGTACAAGGGGGGAACGTCCCAAAGTGTAGGCTACAACTTGGGGGTTGGACTTTCTGGATCCTCCCAGGGGTCTGGGTCAGGACGTCCTGCAAGCCATGGCGCGCAGCGCGCAGATCTACGCCAGTCGCTGGTCCAAGGCCTTCGCAGCCCCTGCGCCTGCATACACATCCCATAAATCCTAAACCCTAAACCCTCACCCCTAAACCCTAAACCCTAAACCCCCAAACCCCCAAACCCCCAAACCCTAAACCCTAAACCCTCACCCCTAAACCCTAAACCCTAAACCCTAAACCCTAAACCCTAAACCCTAAACCCTAAACCCTAAACCCTAAACCCTAAACCCTAAACCCTAAACCCTGAGCAGCTGCAGAAGTCGCTTTCGCTGTAGCCATGACAGGGATGTAAGTAAGAATCATGCTGCTGCTGGTAATATATGTAAGTTGTCAGAATTAAACCCTAAACCCTATAAACCTCTAAACCCTAAAACCCTAAACCCTAAACCCTAGACCCTAAACTCTTAACCCCAATCATTGTCGCGAGAAAGCCCTGGGGACTGGCCGGTAATGCCCAGAGAGCCCAAGACCACCTGATTTTTCAGGGTACACCTTAAACCATATTGTAGGGATCCTTCTTTCAACCAACTCGGAATAAGGTATTTTCCTTAGTTAAGGTATATTCCTGGTAAACTCCCTTTAAGTTTTTTAAGGTGTAAGCCTGTAGGGAATGAACGAGGCTCACCGGACCTATGCGGGTAGTGCCAAGCCTTTCGCTTCGGATGGCCTCCAACGGACTAGCCTCGGCCCTACTCTCTTAGAAGCCTTTAACCTTTCGGTTGGCCCCAGCAACTGGGCTCTGAATGTCCCCGGGGGCCCAATACTTTTCCGCCCCCGTTTTTTGTTGGCTTTACGTGCCTTGTAAGAACTTTTTGAGGGTTCTAGGTAATTACCTTAAATACAGACGAGCCGGTACTAAGAAGGGAGCGCTTGTCGAACCAGGGCCGCTCCGAATCCCAGTGTTTTTTTTGTGTTCTCAAGTGAGGGGGGCTCAAGGGGGGTTTAGGGTTTAGGGTTTAGGGTTTGGGGTTTGAGGTTTGGGGTTTGGGGTTTAGGGGGGTCCCAGTGACTATTAGGAACCCGAGAGCCCAGTACCTTTGAATTTACGAATAGGGATCCCTTCGCTTGAGCTAAAGTATACTCCTTCATTAAGAGGTATGTGGGCTGTTTGGGGGAATCGTTGAAGAAGGACGCTTGAAGATCCCTGGCACCTCTTGCCTCTCCTAGTCTACTGGCAAAAAACCCCAAAGTCCTGCAAGCCCAACAGCTCGGGGCTTGGGGTTTCGGGTTTAGGGTTTTAGGGTTTAGAGTTCAGGCTTTAGGGCTGAAGGGTTTAGGGTTTACGGCCATCTCGTCAGCAGCTGAGGTGAGGAAGGCAGATGGATCGGTGGTGCTCTGGCGCGTATATCTGGATTCCAGGATCTTCGTTCAAGTGCACTGAGTCTTCCTGCATGCGTCAGCATCAGGTGACCTGGGGTGACAGCGATTGCGGGGGCGACAGCTCGCACGTGCAACTTGGCCAGCATGGGGTGTGCGCTTCTCTACAAGGCATGCAGGTGACCCACAGTTTTACACCCAGGAAGCCTCCAGGGAACAACTGCGCCAGCCCGCGCAGATAACGCAAGCGAAGAAACAACAAAATCAGAGGAACATGTCAGGGGAACAACTTTTAACCCTAGGATAATGCTAGGTGATCAAAGCAGAAACCCTCTGGAAACAAAACACAAAACAACAAAACAAAAAAACTCACACAACACTAGGGGTCAAAGAAACCCTAGGAAAACACTAAGAATCAAAGTGGAAACCTAGGTTAACATATGGGGAGGGAACAAACCTAAGGGATCAAACTAGAATCTAGAAGTCTTTGAATTTTGCAGCGGCGCATAACCTTGTCATAGTGGTGTACCGTTCTAGATTCTTAAGGGTACTTAACTTTTTTTACAATCCCAACCATGAACTAGATAATGAGTAGCCCGTACTTCGACATGCTTGCAGCCATCGGATTAGGCCAATGTACGACGGCTCCCGCAACAGACCCCTAATCTGATACCCTAAACCCTCAACCCGTTAGGGTTTAGGGTTTAGGGTTTAGGGTTTCCGGATCCAGGGTCGCCACTCACCCTGAACCCTAATTACACCCTTCATAGCGACCCTGGAAATGAGCCTTAAAGCATAGACCCAAAACGGTCCCTAACCCCTAAACCCGACAGACCCCAAACCGCAGACCCTAAACCCTAAACCATAAACAAAGTAGCCCTGATCTCTCTGAGACCCTAGTGCTTCTCCCTGGCCCTTGCGCCTAGGCAAGAGCAGCTTACGGACTGGGGCGGGGTTTGGGCCAAGTGCCCAGGGGCCGGTTCGGCTTTTGGGGTTTGGGGTTTAGGGTTTGGGGTTTAGGGTTTAGGGTTTGAGGTTGGGTTTCGGTCAGGTAGAAGTTTTAGGATTTTGGGTTTCGATTTGGGATTTGGGGTTTTAGGGGAAGACGCTTTGCTTGCAGGGTCTGAGACTAGGCTCCCTAATCCCTAAACCCCAAAGCCTAGACCCTCAAGGGACTGAGGGTCGAGAATCTGCAAGAAAGCTCTTAGGGTAGTTACATGAGTTCTCATCCCCAACCTGGTCCAAACGGTTTGGACACTAGTTCCGAAACCCGAAGAATTTGAAAAAAAACCCTAAAGCCTGAACCCTAAACCCGAAAACCCCAAACCCCAAACCCCAAACCCTAAACCTCAAACCCCAAACCCTAAACCCCAAACCCTAAACCCCAAACCCGAAACCCTAAACTCTAAACCCTAAGCTAAGGCCCCCCCCCCCCCCCCCCCCCCTAAAGATGCGCCCCCCCAAGACGCCAGGATGTCACGCAGATCGCCACCACGGAGGGCGCCTTCGCGGCCCTCACGGCCGATGAGTCCGTCGTTTTTGGGCTTGCAATGGGGCGCTTCGAAGCCTAAACCCTAAACCCTAAACCCTAAACCCTAAACCCTAGACCCTAGACCCTAGACCCTAGACCCTAGAACCCTAAACGCTCCTAGACCCTAGACTCTAAACCCTAAGTTAGGGCTTGAGGGAGTTTAGGGTGTAGGGGTTTCGCGGTTTTGGGGAGTTGGGGGTTCAGGGCTTTAGGGCTTTAAGGGAGTTCAGGGGTTGAAGGTTTGGGCTGTAAGGCTTCAGGGTTGGGATTTATGGGGCTTTAGGGCTTCAGGGCTTCTGGGTTTTGGATATGGTCCCTTCTTGAGTACCCCAAATATTAGGGGCCGCCTTAGAATAGTAACCCTAGAAGGGACCCTAATTTAGAGAAGTCCATATGGCGCCCGTATGAAGGCTATATGGGAACCCTTAAGGTGAAACCCTGAAACCCTGAAAAACTAAGACCTTACTAAAACCTAAGGAGTACAACTTGAAACCCTTGAGTTTGGGGTTCGTTTTAGGGCTTAGAGCCATTTTCTCTTGCATCTGAGACCACCGAATAAAACGTACAAACCCGAGAGGCACTTTGGGATGTAGTGTTCGGGGGAGGGGGGTGAGAACAATATAGCAGTACAGCAATACAAGAACTAGCAATATTGCAATATAGTAATCTAGTACCACAATCATACAAAATCAAAATATTGATCACCGTGGGCACCCTTCTGGGTCTGGACCGTTGAAACCTACTAGAGGTTCATGGTACTTACTAACCAATTATAACTGCATTTTTCACTGTACTTATAATTATTAGGGCACTCAAGGGGCTTATAAGTACAATTATAAGTACAGTTATAATTGGTTAGAAGTTACCGTGAACCTCCAAGTAAGCTTTGGTTTTCGGGGCTTCGCACGTCCGCCCGGAGGTTTGCTGGGGACACCGCCAGTGGGGCGGGGACTGCCAGCAGGTCCAGAAGTACCTGCCACTTCATTGCATTTACCCCTAAACCCTAAACCCTAAACCCTACACCCTAAACCCTAAACCCTAAACCCCTTTGGGAGTCCGCCCGCTGGGATGGAGTCGGTGGTCCGCGATTCTTGATGGGGTTCATGGTAGCCGGAGATCGACCTAACCCTAAATCCTGAAATCTCGCGCAAGCTTGTTTTAAACCCTATGACCCTAAATTATCAAACCCTTCAGTCAGAACCTCCTAACCCTTGCTCCTAAACCTTGTGGCCCTTGACCCCAAACCCTGAAAGCCATGTGAACTGCTCCCCCAACACCAAAGCCAAAAACCCTAAACCCTGATGAGTCCTGGAACCTTAAGCCCTAAACCCTAAACCCTAAAACCTAAAACCTAAACCCTAAACCCTAAACCCTAAACCCTAAACCCTAAACCTTCAAGGCAGAACGTCAAGCAGATCAAGGGCTCCCTGGCTGTCAATCGAGCCCGCGTTCATGACACTTTACTACAAATTGCTTCAGAACGTTTGCCACAAGGCTTAGGCGCTTTGCAAGGTTTAGGGTTTAGGGTTTAGGGTTTAGGGTTTAGGGTTTAGGGTTTAGGGTTTAGGGATTAGGGTTTAGGGTTTAAAAAAACAAAAAACACAAGAAAACAACTATTCTTTCTTATTAAGGGTAATATAGGGATTATTGTTTTTTTACATGACATTTTAGGGTGCAGGTTTGCCACAAGGTTTCGGCGCTTGGGAGTTTTGAATTTAGGGTTTAGGGTTTAGGGTTTAGGGTTTAGGGATAGGAGTCTAGGATTTAGGGTTTAAGGGTTGAGGGTTGAGGGGCTCATGGGGTTGAGGGTTGAGGGGGTTTAGGGGTTTCGGGTCTTAGGGTGAGGGGCTGGGGCAGTCTGGGGGTTTAGGGGTTTCCCATGACTAGCGCTGACTCGTTGAGGCTTTGGGGCTTGAGGGGCTTGGGGGTCTAGATTTTTGGGGTATTCTGCCAGACATGAGGATCATCAGAGCTAAGGATTTAGGGTTTAGGGTTCAGGGTTCAGGGTTCAGGGTTCAGGGTTTAGGGTTTAGGGTTTGGGTTTCCTAAGTCCCAAGGGAAACAAATGCGACAGGGGACCCATCGTTTAGGATACTCGCCTCGGGGGAACTCGTATGGTCACTACGACCTGTACAACCCAAGAGCCCATACCTCAAAGAAAGGTTCGGGACCCTTTTCCAGACCATGTACTTATACTCTTAGATAAACCTCACCGGCACCCTCCCAAAACCAACCCCCCCCCCCCCCCTCGCCCTTCCTGCCCAAAGCCCCCCCCACACCCCCCAAAACCCCCAAACCCCAAACCCTACACCCCCAAAACCTACACCCCCAAAACCTACACCCCTAAACCCTAAACCCTAAACCCTAACCCTAAACCCTAAACCTAAACCCTAAGCCCTAAACCCCGCAGGCACGAACTTCGCCTTCGCGGCCGTGCGCTCCGACGCATCGGTCCTGACTTGGGGCTTCGGCTTGTGCGGTGCGGATCCCGGACCCCGGCATTGGCCCGGCAATCTCTGAGGTTTAGGGTTTGGGGTTTTGGGGTTTAGGGTTAGGGTTTGGGGTTTAGGGTTTAGGGTTTGGGGTTTAGGGTTTAGGGTTCAGGGTTTGGGGTTTTGGGGTTTAGGGGTTCTAAGGCCCAGAGTAGGCCCATATACTTTTTTAAATGCATTCCCAGGTTACTCTGGGGTTTAGGGTTTGTAGGGATGAAGGTGTCGGGATCCACAGGGCTAGTTTTCTGTAATTAGGGTGCCTTTCGGGGGGGGGGGGGGGGGGGCACCTTTTGCGGGATCGACCTTTGGCAGATCCGCAGTTCCCAGGGACTCCAATATCCCTAAATTAGGGAATAGTCCTTAAACTATAATGGGGTTCCTTATATGATTTAAGGAATATTTATAGCTAAGGGGTATTGGAGCCTCTGGGTTGACAGCTTCAGTGCACGCGAACGTGAGGTTGCCAAGCACGCAGCAGCTTGCTCGGGCACTGCCCAGTCAACACCCACCGGACTTTTCGTGCGAGGGTTTCTGGCTATGCCATCTTGAACACCAACAAGGCGAACCTCGTTGCAGCCTTGGGCCCCAGGGTATGCGATTAGGGCCGCTTTAGGCCTTGGGGGGTGGCTTACCCTGCCTTGACCCTAAACCCTGAACCCTGAACCCTGGACCCTAAACCCTGAACCCTAAACCCTGAACCCTACGCAGCAAAGCCCCACAGCCAGCAGGTGGGGACAGCACCTCGGTGCACAACTCGCTGCGCAACGTGAACTCACTACACGCATCTCGGCTGGTGAGTTCGCTTCCGGGACACGATATCCGTAATGTCTGCGCCGTCCCTGAAAGAGCTCTGCGCGCAGCTTCACTAGGTTCCTTCAAACCCGAAACCCTAAACCTCAAATTGTTGTTGAGGTATCGAAAGTGTCGATTTGGGTTAAGGCAGTTTAGGGTCTAGAATTCTGGATTTGGGGGCCCGTTTGGAGGTCTTTCTCATCTTCTATCTGCCCCTTACTGGCTTTCAATCTTAGGGTGCCATAGGGTTGAAAGGGCCAGACTGGTTATAAGGTACAACGAAGCTATTAAAGGGCTGTTTCCTTTGTTGCAAACTCTACACCTTCAACCCCAAAGCAACCCTCGGATGCCCATCGCCCTTATTTCCTTTTACTGGGGCGAGGATCTCTCAAACAAAGAAAGGGTTCAGGGTTTTGGGGTTTTAGGTCACTTGGGGGACCTCCTATGGAAGTGACTTAGGAAGTCTACCTAGTATATCCCCTGTAGGGCCAGGGCTCAGGTGAGGGATTTGGAGCCCCAAGAGTCGGCCTTATGAACATCCCTAAACCCTAAACCCTAAACCCTAAACCCTAGACCCTAGACCCTAGACCCTAAACCCTAAACCCTAAACCCTAAACCCTAAACCCCCAAACCCCAAACCCTAAACCCTAAACCCTAGACGCCAGAGTTCGCAGCCGTGAGGCCACCGCCGGGGCTTTCGCGGCACTTCGCCGGGATGGGACCGTGGTCTGCTGGGGGCACCGAAGGCTCTTTGGGTTTTGGGGTTTAGGGTTTAGGGTTTGGTTTTGGGTTTTGGGGTTCAGGGTTTAGGGTTTTGGGTTTAGGGTTTCGGGTTCAGGGTTTTGAGCGTCTAACCCCTAAACCCTAAACCCCAAAACCCAAAACCCTAAACCCTAAACCCTAAATCGTGAAAGTAAGATGTTTATACCACACATGATTAGGGAACTTTCTTTGAGGGATTTTTTACGTCCATGTACTTGCACACCCCAAACCTCAACCCCAAACCCCAAACTCCAAACCCCAAACCCTAAACCCTAAACCCCAAACCCTAAACCCTAAACCCTGAACCTTGTACGGGGTGGGGTAAAGTCCCTAAACCCTAAACCCCAAACCCCAAACCCTAAACCCTAAACCCTAAACCCTAAACCCTAAACCCTAAACCCTAAACCCTAAACCCTAAACCCTAAACCCTAAACCCTGAAGGCATGGTGGAGACTGCAAGGCGGTCCAGGGTTACCTCTGCAAGGTGGATCGACGCTCGGGCGAAGACTTGGGTTCCTGTATTTCAGGGTTTGGGGTTTAGGGTTTAGGGTTTAGGGTTTAGGGTTTAGGGTTTAGGGTTTAGGGTTTAGGGTTTAGGGTAATCCCTTTGGATCCTCCCCAGAGAGCGCCCAGAATACCGCTTAGTTGAGGTGTAGGGTTTAGGGTTTAGGGCTTAGGGTTTAGGGTTTTTGGTTCAGGGTTCAGGGTTCAGGTTTTGGAGTTTAGAGTTTAGGATTACCCTCTTTGTTTATTGTTCATGATTGTCCCTGGAATTAACCACAAAAGGCACCCTTTTAGTCTTAGGCTGGTGGTATTAACCACAAAAGGCACCCTTTTAGTCTTAGGCTGGTGGCGAACCCATTGCTTTTTGTTTTGGATTAGCTTCTTCGCGGTTCAGGGGTCTGGGTTTCAGCATTTTAGGCTGCAGTCGATTGTGGCCGGTTCTGTCAAGAGCGCCCGGTCCTCGCGCAACCTTAGCCCTAATCCCTAAATTCCTAAACCGTAACCCCTAAGCCCTAATCCCTAAACCCTAGCTATTACCATAGACCCTGAACCCTATGAAACGGATGTCCCTGCGCCAAGGGATTCGAGCGTCGGAGGCCGCTTTCGCAGCTGCTTGGAGGCAGTTACCATTTAGGGTCTTTGTTTGGGGACCATGTAACTACCCTGAGACAGTGGGAAATTAAGAGTCGACCATTTAGGGTTGCGGGCTTGCTGAGGCGATTCGTTCAGACAACACGGTCATCGCCTGGGGAGATCCTGACCTAGGCACTGCCAGGGAGGGTTTAGGGTTTCGGTTTTAAGGGTTTCGGGATGTTGAGGGTTTGGGTATATTCAGGTTTAGGGTTTTGGGGTTTTGGGGGTGACAGGTACTGGTGGTCTCGGTGCCTGCAAGACAGATGAGTCGGTTTTTGCGAGCTGAAGGTAGTTTTGAGGGTGGCCCCATTTGGGTCTCACTGCTAGTGATTTCTCTGCGGCTTCGAGTTCCACCCACAGCATGCGCAGTACAGGGTTGAAGGTTTTGGGTTTGGGATTGTTCCTTACTGCAAGCCGACCCTGCACCCCAGAAAAAGCATTCTGTGCATGACATGTGGACACCCTCAGCCCTAAACCCTAAACCCCCTTGGTGGCCCTGTGGTACCCTTTTGCCCTGTTTTTTTGCTCAAGGTCCCCTTCTAAAGTAGCCAAACCCCAAAGACAAGGGTGCTCTTGTGATAATATGCTTATTGGGCTACCAAGCCCCAAAAGGTTTAAGGTTTAGCTAGGATGCCCAGTAGCACCCTCATTCCCTTTTTGGGCGGGTTTAGGTTCCCCTTATGAGCCCCTTCAAGCAAAAACATGGGCACCCTTTTTAATCCTAGGTTACTGGGCAAACCTTAACCCTAAACCCTAAACCCTAAACCCTGAACCCTAAACCCTAAACCCGAAACCCCAAACCCCAAACCCCAAACCGAAACCCTGGAAATTCGTGCAGGTGGTGACTGCAGCAGGGTGTCAGAACAATTGCGCCGCTCAGCTGAACAGTCTTTAGTTTAAGGATCAGGGTGTTTTGGGTTTAGGGTTTAGGGTTTAGGGCTTAGGGCTTAGGCTGCTTCTGGCCTTGCACTGGCTGGCATTCTGACACGCAATGCTTTTTGAGGCTTTTGTGCAATCATGGGGCAATGTCTGTAAGAACCCTAAATCCTAAACCCTAAACCCTAAATCCTAAACCCTAAACCCTGAGCTGTAAACCCTCAAAGCTCCAACTCTAAAGCCCGTAGCCTGCTCCGTTGGCATGGCACTCGGTTGAGACCCCAAGTCCCTCAAACCTTCCCGATGCCCCTCAGACCGTAACTTGGTAGCCCAGTGGTACCCTTTTCCCGTTTTTTTGGTTCTGGGTTCCCTACTAAAGTAACCAACCCAAAAAAGGGTGCCCTTATTTCAATATGGTTACTGGGCTACTAAGGTGAGACCGTAAGACCCTGAACCCAAGACCCAACCCAGCGAGTCCAAAACCCCTTGCTCAAGGGATATTCCCGTCAACGACGGAGGGATCCTTAGTAGGATGTCAGGCATAGTCCTTGATGAAGGGATTAAGGGGTATTGAGCTACACCGCACTGCATGAGGTGACGTCGTGGAGATCGCCGCCACAAGCCGAGCTTTTGCTGCCAGGCCGTTTGTTTTTTGTTTTTTTTTTTTTTTGGGGGGGGGGGGGGGTTCAGGGTTTAGGGTTTAGGGTGGGGGCGGAGGGGGGGAGGGGGAGGGGTTTCGTTTGGGGCCTTAACTCATTGAGGAATATAAGGATCCTCATTCTTGAAATAAGGTGTAGTTCTTAAAATTCACCGAGTTAAGGTGTATGGTTTTTCTTTTAGGGTTCACAGGTTCAGATTTAGGGGGGTTTCGGGTTTAGGGCTTTCAGGGGTTATTGCCTAGGGGTTTCGGGTTTGCGGGTTGCAGGTTTTGGTCTAGGTTTTGGGCTTTCCAGGGCTAGGGTTTGAGATCCAACGGTGTCTTAAAAGGGCCCTAAATGTGGGAAAATTGGGATGTTCCCCCTTATACTAACAGGTCTTAATAGGGATTCTAGTACCCCCTCTTATAATCCTATTAAGGACTGTTAGTATAAGGGTGAACATCCCAAGCCCGAACTAATTAAACCCTAAACCCTAAAACCTAAGGAAACCCCAAGCGGCTGTAGCCCTTGAATTCTTCAGCCCCTAGACTACGAAGCCGCCTTGTTGTTTCCGTGTCAATAGGCCTTATGGGGTTCAAGATGCGCGTTTAGGGTTTGGGGGTTGGAGGTTTTGGGTTTGGGGTTTAGGGTTTAAGGTTTGTAGGGTTTAAGTAGAGCGAAAGAAGGCACAATTGGATCTGGTTTATTTCAGATGCCAACAGGGCTGCGACGAGACACCCTCGTATTGCGCGTGTTCGTTCACGCGTTAATGAAGAGACTATTATTGTTATTATCATTATTATGAACGTGTGCATGAATATTATTGTAAGCTCGCTAAGATTGATATGAACGAAACAAGAATAGAATACCAACGGGCCAAAAACAAAGATAAAATATAGGCCCCTCGTAAAGGCCTTTGTTCACTCACTCTTTTCCTGCACATTCATGAATGATGGTCTTTTGCGCAGTGTAATACTAATACAAGTGAGTGAGTGAGCACATTACATTAGAAGCGAGCGCAGTGAACGCGTGCATGTAATGTGCGACTGGAAATGAACATGCATTCTTTTTCTTAGTTCGCACGCCAAATGAATATTAGGGGCCTGTTTGGAACATGTTATTTGGCCCGTTCTTTTAATAAAAAAGTATTATTGAGCTTGCGAACGCCCCATCGGCAATATGCATTCACGCGTGAACAAGATTGCAAGTGAAGGCATATGGTATTATTAATAGCTCCTTTCTTCGCTTGGCTTTCATGCGTCCTTTCACTCCTTATAACACCAATCTCATAAAGACAACTTACGACATCTCCCTCGGTTACCAGGATTCTTTGCTACCTTTAGGATTCTCTCCGAAAGCCCCCAAGAATAATATGAAGAAGCAAGGAATGGTGTACGCGCATTCACTTAGAGCGCGCATTCGCTTCTCTACCGCTTTGTTCATACACTACTTGATGCTTTCACCTCTGGATGTAGGATATGATTTCACCATTAGGGTCATTATGGTACCGCGTGCAGGGTTCCATCTGATGTGCCGTCCGTCAGTTTACATGTTGAGTCAATAAGCTTGGAAACAGAACCCTAAACCCTAAACCCTAAACCCTAAGAGGTTGGGTCTCAAGGTGTGACAATGAGAGAGCGGTGAACCTGGCATGCGAATCCCAGGGGTGAGCGGTTAGTCTGCCAGAAAGATTCCATGGACTGGTTCTTGGGCCAGTGCTAAACACATACTAATATGTATAGAAAACAACCAATTGAGCACATTTACTATACTAGACACATGTGAAGACAAAACAAAGTAACTGGTATGTATAATAAAGAGGCAGAGAAACAAATTGACAGGAATAGAAATAGATTTGTGAACATGCTTTTCGGATAGAGACAGAAGCTATTCGGCAGTAATGAAATAAGAGTGCTTGCTAGTTTTTATTCCTGATGGGTTGCCTACCAGTCGTAACTCCTAGAAAGTTATCTGGCAGTGCTTAATATTTTACATTTAGTTCATTATTGAATGCAAGTAATTTAGAAAATGTATAATTTCATATTTTTTATGTATTACTTAGTTTACATACATTTCCATATCTTTGACATCAGTATTTTAATAACAATTCTGGTTAAAATTCTTTTTGTGCTAAATCTCCCACATCTTCCAATTCTATGAACATCCACAATTTTTTGGTATGGTAAATGATTAATCGCCATATTGACTTGTGGTATGTCAATACCTCGTGATGATAAATCAGTTGTTGAGAAAAGTCGTGTGTTGCCATTTGGAATGTCAGATATTGCTTCATTTCTTTCTGGTTGTTCCACGCTAGAATTAATCATAGATATAGGAAAGTTTTTATCTTGTGATGTTTCCAACCATTCAACTGTTTCAATTTTATTGCAAAATATGATTGCTTGTGATGTAGGTACCATATTATGCAAATCTAACCATGTTTCTAATGTCTGTTCGACTGTTTCAATATCAGTACAAACTTGTGATATTATTTCTCGAATAACTTCTGTATTTTTAAATAACAGTTGTTCAGGATTTTTTAGAAATTCTGACTTGCAGTAAATACTTGCACATTGCTTTCCAAAATGTTGATATCCCCCCTAACAATTCCATCAACTTCATCCAAAATAATGTATTTTACATATTATATCTATATATACATATATTGAGTACTCTGCGCAATGTGATAATTTCTTCCCAATGTTCCAACCAATCTAAATTAGAATTATTTTCCTCATTAATCTGTTCATAAACATTTGTTCCTCCAATACATGTCTTATTTTTTAACTTGTATATTGTGATACTTCGTCACGGCGTATTGTAGCACTTGCATTTCTTAGTGAATGGTCGTTGCAAACAAATGTTTGCACAGTCGTGGTTTCATTCTGGTTTTGAGTAATGAAACATTGGGTATTCTGACATTCTTGAAATACAAGTAGAATTTGTCATACTTGTCAGAATGTTGGGTTTTCATCATTGAACTGTCTGAAACAGAAAAGTATGTTTTCTCTCACGCCCTCATGAGCGACATCCCAACCACAATATAAGTACTCAAAAATATAGATATAGACATTTGGTTCTGTAGAAGCAAGTTCCTTTAAACAGAACACAGACACCGATGCGGATGGTGTTTGGTGACTTTTGGACTGAGTGCCTTTGTCGCTCTGTAGTGTTTAGTTGAATTGGCTTGTCAAGCATTCTATGGTCCTAGTGATATCAGAACAGCACTTTGAGTGTAGTGTGCCAAATATAGAACATGAACATTTTTGTCCGTGTGACGTTAAGATGATATTGCTAGTGTTCTAATGGTGTAACATTTCTTAGAACTCGAGAGCATCCCGGGCGTAGTCAGCCTGCAAGCGTGCTCCCGTGTGAGTTACAAAGTAGCAGGCATCCCAGAGTCTTTGTGCACCAGCTCCGAGTGACCTGCCAGGAGCACTCGCGCGTCGCCTCAGCAAATTCCGGTTCATAGTCGCAGCGGCCAAACGATGGCTCGACAAAAGCGGGAGCGTGAAAAAAAAAAACTTTGCGCTCCACTGTTCCGGACCGTTGCAGGAAATACCTCCGAGTTCTAGATCTCCGAGCTCGGCGAACTCTTAGACTCCTGCTTAGACCCGTCAGTGCAAGACATGTTCATGCAACAGTCAAGTCCTCGTGTTCCTGCGTGGCTTCACCACGGGACAGAACGTGCGCTACGAGCCCGGTCCTCAGCTACCCTCCAACTGAACCAGCCCCCTCGCTGGCCCGGGATGGCCCGGGATGAGCGAAGGCGAAGACGATGCCATCATCGAATACGACGAAGAACTACAACGATGCCCAGAGCTCGTAGCAAAAACACCAAGGAGACTAGCGTTGCAGGAAACAAGCAGCGTGACGCCGCCGAAGGCCTGGATCTTGGCGGCAATAGAATCAATCAGAATCAAACGATCTCCAGGCAGGGGCTTCTTCCAGCTGAAAAGAATATTGAACCTCAACACTTACATGTTCCTCCTGTCTTCGAAACATGACTCGAATCGACTCAGCGAACCCGAAGGCCCTGTATGTATAGATAGTACACACTACACACGCAGAACAGAGAACCATTGCAGTTCACATGCCACACCGCATGTGTTGCTGCGCCCCTCACGGCACAGGTGCGAAGCGCATCGGACACTGTGAGAGTGCAAGAACCCCCGAAGGCGCTGCGCGGAAAATAACAAAGTGGGTTGAAGTCTCCTTCTGCTCCCGCGTGTCGCATTGTCCCAGGCCCCAAATCCAGATTGTGCCTTGGCGTGGCGGGTGGGCTTATAATTCGTCGGATTCACGGCATCCCGGGCGAAAGGAAACAAGCGATTTCAATCTCAACCCATTTAAAGAATCGACATCAAAGTCAATGACAAGAAGCTCCGGTTCTGATGCACCAGAGTCAACGTACAAAGATCTCGGGTAATGGATTCTCGTTTGCTGAAGACCTGTAGCCAAAGAAGTGCGCAACTCCTCTGCAGTTTTGGCCCCAAAAAACCCCGACAACACAGAGCCATATTTAGCCGAAGGTGAAGGCGCCGCCAAGCAATGGGACGCGGCGCGCGAAAGCAAACTCAACACGGTGCCGAGGCATGGCCATCCTCTTCGATTTCACGGTCTCGTTTTGGGATGCGTGACTAAGAAACAGCCGCGGCCTCGGAGCCGCAAACAAAGACACAGGAGCGCAGCATGTGTGCAAGCCAAGAAGCATTGCTAACAAAGCCATGCATGAACTCGCCCAGTCAATCATGTTGCATCCGCAAACTTGTCGAGCGCCACCTACGCGGAGAAGCCTGCGCCTCAGCATAACCGCAATTGGGATCTGCCACCGAGCTCAGCGCATCCAGTCGTAGGAGATGTTCCTCCAGCTGTGAGAGCAGTGCACGCCGGCCAAAGTGCCCGATCAGATGCAACCTTCCATAGAGGACGTCCCAAACGAAAAGAGTCGGGACTAGATAAGAGCGAGCACGTGGCGCGAAACACACGCAGCAGGCGGCCAGAAACGAAACACACACACACACACGGACACACCGACACACAGACACACACACACACACGCACACACACACACACACTTACAAACAAGAAAACAAACAAAGCGCGGACGCATTCGCGCGTCGCAGCCAGGAAGCTCCAAACCACAATTGCTCCGGTCCCCTTGCTGCTCAGCTGCCCGGCGTGTCTTTCCACTGCACTCCAGATCTCAGAAGAAATCGCCTGAGCTCTACAAAATCTCTTTACTGTCGCAAGATATTTATTTGAGAACACCTGTAAACTATCGAAGAACCTGAGTATGATATGTTTAAATCAGGTTCATTTACTATGTGTGAACAAAATCTACATGATATAACTGATATAACTGAAACAACTAAATATTCCTAATCAGTATTAGAACTTTCGGAATATATATATATATATACACATATATATATATATATATCAAGATGCTACAAGAAACATGGCAAATGAAAAATCTTCAAAAAAGCATTGGAGATGTGCATTGCGTTTCATTACATGTAGAAAACACAACGATCAGAATATAGCAAATGAATTTGGTACTTTTTTTAGTGGTACAAAGAGCCTGCGTGCGCGTATGATAAAATAATGCATGTGAGAAAAAAGCCAAATCATTATAGTGAAGATGGTAATGCAATGTTTATCCCAAAATGTAATCTTTCAACATTTGTTATATCATCTAGTGAAGCAAATACTATAAAAGTACAATTATTGAATATTGTAGACGTATGAAAATATACGGAAAATAGAAAATTGAGATGACATAGAAAACGCGCAGATAGAAAAAATATTTAACGGAGGAATATATACATGCTATTTCTAAACAGGTGCAAAATGTTGGATATTTAAAGCGTACCAACGAATAATGAAGAATGATGAAAACAATGACGATACAGATATAGGGATGAACTCAAATGAAAATTATACCAAGTCTCATCTAGATATGATAAGAACGTCAGTGTTTTTCATACGCTACTTAGAGCATATACAGAACAAACTGACAACCAAGAAACAATTGATAAGGAAGGGTTATGGTAAGTCTGAAAATTTTAGGAACATAGCAACCTTGCAAGAATCGAATGTATCACTTAAAGATGTGGAGCTGGACTAGATACATAGCAACCAACGCTGCCCATCTGGAACAAGTTATATGAACTACTAGAACAGAAATGAAAGATAATGAAACGTCATACAAATCTCATGTTAAAGAACTAGAGGAAAAGAGAAGCAATTTCTCTCTCTAGAAATACTTTGTTAAAAGAAAGTAAGAAAACATTGGATGCAGACAACCGAAAATTAATGCGAATATTGAAAAGTTAAAACAAGAAATAAGAAAGTGGAAAATGGCAGTTTAAGAGCAGAAAAAAAGTGAATGCTGAACATGACAGTTTAAAAGCAGAAAGAAAATGTGAATGCTGAAAATGACAGTTTAAAGTTTAAAGGCAGAAAGAAGAAGTGAGGCTAGGTGTAGAAGATGAGGAAAAACAACAAAAACTGCCTAATGGACGTCTATATATATATATACATATTCATTATTCAGTCTAAATGCAGACAGCTATCTACAAATAATAAAACAACATATAACACATACTATTATGCAAAAGGATTAAAAAATAGAGTACATAAATTCAGGCAAATTTACAGACTTGCTTTGAACTAACAGCAACTCATTGAATGATAACTTTTTGTAATATATTGAATAACATGTTTCTCGGTGTTTTTTCTTTTTTTATCTTAGAAACATGAACATTGCACAAGTCCATTACAACCCCTAGATAAATTTACTGCAAAAGAATTAGAGCCAGACAAACAACCCCTAGATAAATTTACTGCAAAAGAATTAGAGCCAGACAAACAACATATTCTTCAGGAAGAGAATGGCATATAAGACAATAATTGAAAGAATTTGGTGAAGACTTTGGTCTTAATCCTGAAGATTTCGAAGACTGGTCAGTTGCTGATGAACATCTAAACATGCGGCCACAAATTGCTGCTCGTACTCACGAGGGTTCTGCAGCTTTCCAAGGCTTTCTAGGGTTTGGCACGCCTGCTTTGGCAAGGAAGCGCGACGGCAGCGTGGTCACCTGGGGATTTGAGCAGCGCCCCCCTTGCACCATCCGCTGGGGTTTAGGGTTTAGCAGTTTGCGGGTTCCGGGCTGAACTACCGCAGGAGCTTAAGCTATCACAAATACTAGTCAGAATTCCTGTATCGTCCCCGTGCAATGATACTATAGCCTACCCAAAAACGAGGCTGTTGTATCAGGGTTGAGCATGTCCCTGTGTAGACTTTGGACCCCTCACAAAGGGTAGCTATACTGAAAAGCCGCTTCCAAACCTAAACTTTCGAAGCCCATATACCTTACACCCTTATCCCCACAAGGAGACCAAGACCCCTCAAACAAGGAATGTACCCTGACTTTTATACGTCAAACCATATGCCCTAGTTAACGTGTACATCGGGCCCTCAACCCTAAACACCCAACCCGAAACCCTAAACACTGTTCCTTGATGGAGGGGTATTGGGCTCTCTGGTCCTTCTGAGCTACGGTGAGGTTTACGCTTTACAGATCAGGCTCCGGGGTCCTCAAAGTCGGCTTAGGGATCTTGGATTTTAGGTAAGAGTTAAGGGTTTAGGATTTGGGGTTAAGTGTTTAGGGTTTAGAGTTTATGGGTTTAGGGTTTAGGGTTTAGGGTTTAGGGCAGAGGGTTTCCAGGCACAAGCCGAACTCCGTGGATTTATGAGTAGTTATGCATGGGCAACCCCGGGTAAACCTCCAGCCCTGCTTGGAGGATTGAGGATATAGTTTTTTTTGCATAAACAAGAAGGTACAAAATAGGGTTATAAGTGGACCCTAACTGGGGTTATCCTGCTGATTGACCCTGCCTGGCACCGGATCCTCCAAGTAGACCCCACATGTAAAGCCCAGAATCTGGGGGAGTTTCAGGTGTTTTGGGGTTAAGAGTCTGGGTCTTACACCAAGCTGATATAGGCAGAAACTCACCACTTAAAAGAGAGAGAGAGAGAGAGAGAGCGAGAGACAGAGATAGATCGATAGATAGATAGATGTTTTTGTTAGGAATATTTTTATTTTCAGATATAAATAAATATATATATATATATATATATTGTCATACATGCATAAATACATGTTTATGTATAGGAGGTCGGGGGTTTCGGGTTCGGACTCGAGGCTTCCTAGGTCTCAGGCATTGCCCTGTAGTGCAGATCCTGGCAGGCGCTTAAACCCTAAACCCTAAACCCTAAACCCTAAACCCTAAACCCTAAACCCTAAACCCTAAACCCTAAACCCTAAAACCCTAAAACCCTAAAACCCAAACCCTAAACCTTAAATTATAGAATGAATTTGTAATTAAAGTTAAACCCTAAACCCTAAACCCTAAACCCTAAACCCTAAACCCTAAACCCTAAACCCTAAACCCTAAACCCTAAACCCTTTCCCCTAAACCCTAAACCCTAAACCCTAAGCCCTAAACCCTAAACCCTAAACCCTAAACCCTAAACTCTAAACCCTAAACCCTAAACCCTAAACCCTAAACCCTAAACCCTAAACCCTAAACCCTAAACCCTAAACCCCAAACCCCAAACCCCAAACCCCAAACCCAAACCGAATCGTACCTCAGAGGCCCAGAGAGCCCATAATACCCCTAAGTTAGCCATACATACATTAACCTATACAGGAGTTCTTCATATGATGTAAGGTATGTCATTAAGGGGTACTCTAAACCCTAAACACTAAACCCTAAACCCTAATTTGTTCAGAGGCTTCAAAGGGCCAACCCAGAAAATCCGAGCCCAACGGCCGCACTGATGATTTCGCGAAGTTCTGCGACTCTCCTCTTGTTCTACTATTTACTTAAGAGCCCTAAAACCTGCAGCAGAATGAATGGTCCCTGTATTGGCCTTGTAGCTAAGAAAAGTTTTTGGAGGTTATTAAGCAAATAGTAGTGTTTGGCTGGTCCTGGTGCTGGCTGTGTCTCCTCCTGGGCATTGCGTGGCCATAACCGTATGTCGCGGGTCATGCTTCAGACTGGTTTAGGGTTTAGGGTTTAGGGTTTAGGGTTTAGGGCGTGAGGTTTGGGGTTTAGGGTTTAGGGTTTAGGGGACGACTTCCACCCTGGATGGAATGGTTTTGATGTGGACCACATGCTGGGCCTGGTGAGCCGGCACATTTGTAGCCTGGCAACGGATGAGTACTACTTCTACTTCCCCTGGCCGCGCATCAGGACCGTTCTCCGACTCTAAACTGGACCAGGGAGTCTGGATCCCAAAGGGTTTAGGGTTCAAGGTTCAGCCCCAGACCCTCACCCTCAACCCTCAACCCTCAACCCTCAACCCTCAACCCTCAACCCTCAACCCTCAACCCTGAACCCTGAACCCTGAACCCTGAACCCTGAACCCTGAACCCTGAACCCTGAACCCTGAACCCTAACGACATGATCTTGGCTTCGCACCCTAGGTATGGTGGAGACAGCAGCTCGGTCCAAAGCAAGCTCAAGGGCATCCAGTACATTGCAAGCATCTCGCCTGCGCAGGTTGTGTCTCAGGGTTTAGGGTTTGCTGTCTAAACTTAGGATTTACAGAACCCAATACCCCTTCATTATGGAACGCACCTTAATTCATGTTAATTACCCCATGCATCGTTTACAAGGTCTGTTCCCTTTTTCTCTGCACAGCTACATACTCCAAGAAGGACGCGCCCTAAACCCTAAACCTGAAACCCTAACCCCTGAACTCTAAACGCTAAACTAGGTTGTAGGGAGTGCCTATGTGCGACGTAAGTTATTCAACGGTTTTGGATTGGCTCCTTACTTGCCCCTTGTTTAGGCGAGTTTAGGGTTTAGGGTTT